TTTACCCACCTCGGAAGGATGGAAGGCTGAGTCAACCTTGAGCCGGTGAGATTAGAACCGCTGAACTGCAGATAACAGTCAGCTGAAATGGCCTGAAGTACTGCACCCTAACCACTGTGCCACCTTGGCTCTTGAAGTTTGATTGAACTCACAAGAAGGGGGTTTTTACCAGCCGCCTCCCTGAGCACGATGGTGAGGAATGCAACAGAACTGGAAAGGTAAAAGGCGCACCTCGCTTCTCACCTGCCCCAGAAAATAATAAGCCCTCCCCTATAATAAGCCCAAGGCCATATTTCGTTGGGCAAAAGAAAATAAGACCCTGTCTTATTTTTGGGGAAACACAGTAGAAAACTTGGAAGAGTCCCTTCTCAAATGCCCTCCCTCTTATTGAACTGAGGTATCTTTTACACATGGATTATTCAGTCTGCAGCTTTTCTTCCTGTCTCACAAGACCATTCCCACATACCAATATGCCCATATAACCTTTTTAAATTCCTGTTCAACTACACAATAAGAAATAGATTTAACAAGTCTTAAGAACAAGCACTGTGAAATGAACAAATTGATATGAGCTCTTATGCAGTCTTATTTTCTCTTTTTGCTATCTATTCATAATCTACTAAAGTTTGCAGATGATACAACAGTGATTGATCTTATTAGAAACAACAATGAAACTGCATGCAGATGGGAGGTTGAACAACTAGCCACATGGTCGACCGGAAAAATTTGGAATTGAACACACCCAAAACTGTAGAAATGGTGGTAGACTTTAGGAATAACCCTCCCATACTACCACCTCTTACAAGCACTAGACAACACAGTATCAATAATAGAGACCTTCAAATTTCTAGGTTTGATCGTATCCCAAGACTTAAAATCAAAACGTCATCAAAAAAGAACAACAAAGAATGTTCTTTCTGCGTCAACTCAGGAAGCTCAAACTGCCCAAAGAGCTGCCAATACAGTTCTACAGAGGAATTATCGAGTCTGCAACGAATAAGACAGACTTCAGAGGATAATTAGAACTGCAGAAAAAACAATTACAACCAATCTGCCTTCCATTGAAGACCTGTATGCTGCATGAGTCAAAAAAAGGTCCGTGAAAATATTTACAGACCCTCGAATCCTGGACATAAATTGTTTCAACTCCTACACTCAAAATGAAGCTATAGACCACGCCACACCAAGACAACTAGACACAAGAACAGTTCCCCCCCCCCCCGAACACCATCACTCTACTAAACAAATAATTCCCTCACCACTGTCAAACTATTCACTAAGGCTGCATTACTATTACTATTAGTCTTCTTATTGTTCCTATCACCCACCTCCTCCCATTTATGACTGCAGGACTGTAACTTTCTTGTTTGTATTCTTACAAACAATTTATATTCATATTGATTTGTTTCCTGATTGCTTATTTGTACCCTATGACTATCATTAAGTGTTGTAGCTTATCATATCAGAAGGAGGACTCCCCAAATATGTAAAACTATAATTGACATATAATCCCTTTGTAAACTGTTTTGAAGAGAAAACATTTTACTTCAAATACAGAGACAGCGGGGTTTAGAGATCAAACACTGGGAAGACCCTTGAATGCTCTCATTCCAACCCCTGGAACTACAGGAACTTATTACTACAGATGATCTCACTGAATATTGGGGATTGGAAAAATTGGCTGCTTTGAATTGCTGTAAGAAAAGTGGGATATCTTGCATTAAATGTATACTGTCAACTACCAAATATTCAGAAATACCACATTTCCTTTCTCACCCCTTCCCATACAATTAACCTGTTGAAAGAGTTATAATTTAGCTATGCTATTGGGATGAACACCCTTCGAATGGTGTGGGATTATGAACGGATTTCCAGAAAAATAAAAAATGCAGACCGCAGGAACCCTTAGCACTATTCAGGTAACCCTGAGAACACAGGTAAACCTCAGAGTGCTTCAAGGACTCTAAAAGGATGCAAATGACCAGCTGTCTGCAAGGAATATAAATCCTTCCATTCCCCACCACCCAGTCAGAGATGAAGAAGTTTTTTGGATGAGAGCGAAACATCTTCGAAGAAAAAACAAAAAAGTCCAATTGCCTCCTGAAAAAAAGCACCTTTGGGACAAGACCTGGATGACTGGGAATCTCTACAGATTTTTTATAATATATATATCACGACTGGGGGGGAAAAGCCGTGTGGACTCCTTCCCCAATGCTTCCCCTCCTTTCCAACCCTCTCTACAAGTGACAGCGATGCCATCCATTCAGTCCGACTTTCCCGTAACTTTGCTGCGATGGAGATGCATTTGGCGGGTCCGAGGCGTGCCCCGAAACGGACGACCACCCTCCCTCCCGGTTCTAAGTAGTGCAGCCTTGCGCCCACACCTTCCCAATGTTTCTGCCGCAATAGCTGTCCAAATGGTTGAGGAAGATCCTCTGGCTGCGAATGATCTCTTCTGCCTCCGCCACCGCCTCCTCTTCGTCCGACATGGTTGCAGTTGACAAAAACGCCCGGAGGTTGCTGGGCAACCGACCCACGCGCTTGGCACCGGGGGGGGGAATGGGAGGGGCCAAAAGGGCGAGCAGCCAAAGACCGGGAGTGGGCGGGGCTTCAGAATGAAGGGAAACCTCCCGTCCTCCGCTACGCCAGCCTCTAAAGCTGGTCTGCTCCGTAACGAGTCGGAGTTGGGGAATCGGGTGATGATCACATCCCCGATGGACCGCACAGCTCCTCCATCGCAGCCGGAACACCCAGTGCTGGAAAGCCGCAGTCCAATCACCCTGGAGCGCTGAGGGCATGCTTCTGAAGCATACATTTACCAACCCAACTTGGTGTTGGGTACAGATTTTAGCATATACGACCGGGGTCCCCAAACTTGGCAACTTTTAAGACTTCTAGACTTCAACTCCCAGAATTCTCCAGCCAGTTGGGAGTTGAAGTCCACAAGTCTTAAAGTTCCCAAGTTTGGAGACCTCTGATGTAGGGGAAACAGAGGGATAATTAAGAGGAATTAAGAGGAAACGAACTTCCATCCATACAATTTGTGTATACTTCTAATGAGACATCTAATGGGTACATTTACTTATTACTCTATATCATTATTTCTTAATCATAGCACTCTTCTCACACATCCCCAAAATCAAAATTGCGTGCTGGCCTATTTTGAAAAACAATTCAATATTAAAATCCCTTCAAACTATTATGAGAAATGATAGAGGCAGTGAATGCATCAATTATAATTTTTAATATAGTAAATATTGATAAATGTAACCCATACAAACAAAAGCTCCATTTTTTTAAAAAGTGAGATGGGGTCCTAAGAGTATAAGACCCATTGTACAGATCATTTATGTGCCTTTATTTAAATGTACAACCTCTAACATAAATTAGTAAACAATAAACATGGCTAGGTTATTCACAAAGGAGTACGAAGTCAATTACGTAAAGTATATTTCCTCCTATAGGTCTAAATGTGAGCATACATCTTAATTGTTTGTGCACTTCATATTTTTAAATAAATGTACAAAATGAAATATGGCATTATAACAGTTTAAAAGTGTAAATTCTTGGACTAAATTCTCTGCTACGATAAAACTATCGCCCAAATAAATTCAAAGGTGCAAGATATATTTAAGTCCTTCAAATTTTAAGTTCATCTGTCGGAGAACTTGGAATGTTATCACTATATAGCAAAGAGTATCAGTGTACAGTGCGATTATGACTGCTATACATAAACTTTCATTTAAAAACACGCCCTTTTTGTAAGCAGTAAAAACAAAAAACAACAGCACCACTGTTAGCAAATTTTATATTTAGGTATCTAATTGTTCTCTCAATTCAAATCCAACTTGACTCTTTGGTTTTGAATTAAAATTGTGTTGTACATTAATTTAAAACAATGGCTAAAATACTTAAGGGTAATATACAAATATTTAGTAACTGGGAATATATTAATTAAGGCGTGCAAAATACTTTCCAATATACTGTACATTGTGTAAACATTTAAACTGTAAATAACCCTTTATAGAATATGCATTCCATTTTAGCAAAAACTGTAAGAAATATGGGGCTTTATGAAGAATGCACCTTTTTAGTTCCTTATCTTTGTGCTTATACCATTTGTATTTCAATTGATGAATACATTCATTATGCCAACAATTCATCTTCTGTTCAGTATTCAAAGTTTGCAACCCATACAATAAACACTGCTTTTTACTGCTCATCAGTGTGGAGCTTAAAATGTTTGTGAGTATTCATTATGATTTCCTAGAGAGTTAGAGAATGCACAACAATTGGAGATAAATATTGTAAATGAAAAATCTATTTTACTGAGCTTCGCAAGGCAATTTTCTGTTCTTCATAAAATTCCAAGTTACTCTTGGAAAACATGACTGTATTGTGCAAATTTTGAACAAGCATTATCTTGTTACAAACATTTAATGCCAACTGCAGCATTGCTAAAACTAAGCACTGAGTTAATACAGATTAAAACAGAAATATTATTCAATCACTTGAAAGAAAATTAACCAAGACTATAACTTTGTTTGGAATTTTGAGAACAAAGTGAGTTATTTACTGAGAACAGCTTCAGTTATGAAGGTTATAGATAGTGCCATTACAACTAGTACAGTAATTAATGTTAAAAGCAAGGAATGCAAGTTAAACAAAGTATTCCTTTGCAAGTTCTCAGCATAAGCGGCTCAAAATTCTCAGCTACAACATTTTTGGAGCTCTCTCTTGGTTGTGGATTCAATCAGGACTGCCCATCGTTTTTCAAATCTTCTAGTCTTTGTAGTAATGCATTTCCAAAAGCTTCTCGATATGCTGGGCTAACTGAGTCTAACAAAGAGTAAACAGTCTCATGGTAGGGATTCTGTAAAGTGTCATCCATCTGGTCAAAATCATAAGCAACCACCTACAAAAGAAAATATATATATTTGAAAAGTAAGAAAGGATCCAGTACAATATAAACACATGGATAAAGTAAGACAACATAACATGTTCTGCAGACCTGCCCCCCCACAACTTTGGATATTTAAAAGACAATCAATAACATAGATTTCTCAAGAACTAACTAATAGGTACAGTAAATGGGGTAATTATGAAGCATTTACTGCATCAAATTACTGATTGCTGGAAAATTATTTTCTATATAAAATATTTGGAACTTAAAGAAAAGGAAGTAGATTGCTTTAGTAACCATTTACTAAATAGTCTGCAGTAAACACTTAAAAATACATACAAAAAAGCAACATTACCCTGAGTCCTGCTTCTGTTAGCTCTAGGCAATATCTGTTCTTCTCCCTAGTTTCCACATTTATGTATGCTACCTCTTCAACACATGGGAGATTTTTGGAAACAAACATGTTGCTCACAGCAAACAAAACGTCATTCACAACAGCTTCTGCTTCTATTCTCATGTCTTTCACATCTGTTCCTTCAAAATGGTTCTCCGTTCCACTGTTACTGGATTCATCCATGGAATTATAATCGGTCTCCATTCTGCACATAAAATATATGTATAATATTTAGTACATATCCAAATACCTCTTCAGCCAGAACTTTTAATACATTTCTGAATGTGATATGAATTTTCAGAAAATCTAGAACTATATTACAATTTATAACAACATTATATTTAACTCAAGGTTGAACTGGAGGAATCTTTGATGCTGAGCTTGGTTGTTGACTTGCCCATCTTTTATTACCCAACTGGGTAATACTATCAGTGAAATGTTGGCAAACTAAATGAGAATACAGGTAGTCCTTGACTTACAACAGTTCATTTAGTGACCATTACAACAGCACTGAAAAAAGTGACTTATGACCATTTTTCACAGTTATGACCACTGCAGCATCCCTACAGTGATGACATCAAAATTCAGATACTTGGCAACTGGTTCATATTTATGACCCTTGCTGTGTCCCAAGGTTCAGGGATCGCTTTTTGCGATCTTGTGACAAAGTCAATGAGGAAGCCAAATTCACTTAACAACCGAGTTACTAACTTATCAACTGCAGGATTCACTTAACAACTGTGGCAAAAAAGGTTGGGGCAAAACACACTCAACAAAAGAAATTTTGGGCTCCTTTGTGGTTGAAGACTACCTGTGTATTCAATATTGGGGGCAAACATACAGTTGCAAAGCATCTGTACAAAGGCATACAGGATATTCTCTGGCTGACACATCAGAGTTGAGACGGAGAAGCTTCCCTGTTTCTCTAGAAACTATGGAAGTTGTAGTCCCAACACTGGAAGATCCCAGGTGGAGAATGTATGCACATGTATCACATCTCTTGCGAGAACTGCTTTGGTTGCTGATTTGCTTCGTGGTGCAATTCAAGGTGATGGTTGTCACCTTTAAAGTCCTTCCCGGCTTGGGACCAAGTTATCTGAGAGACCATCTTTGCTGGTCACATCAACCTGACCCACTAGAGCAGGGAGTCAAGGTATGTTGTTGGTCCCATCCCCTAAGGAGATACATCTAGCAGTGCCCAGACGAAGGGCCTTTTCTGTGGTGGCTCCCTCCCTCTTAAATTGACTTAAATGGACTCCAGGGGATGTAGAAGACAGGAAGGCCTAGACGAATGTTGTCCATTGGGTCACGATGGGTCAGACACAACTTCAGAACTGCAGAAAAAACAATTCCTGCCAACCTGCCTTCCATTGAGGACCTGTACACTGCTCGAGTCAAAAAGAGGGCCATGAAAATATTTACAGACTCCTCGCATCCTGGACATAAATTGTTTCAACTCCTACACTCAAAACGACACTGTACAGCACTGCACAACAAGACAACTAGACACATGAACAGTCCCCCCCCCCAAAAAAAACCCCATCACTCTGCTAAACAAATAATTTCCTCACCACTGTCATACTATTTACTAAGGCTGCATTACTATTACTATTAGTCTTCTCATCCTTCCTATCACCCATCTCCTCTCACTTATGACTGCATGACTGTAACTTTATTGTTTGTATCCTTACGATTTATGTTCATATTGATTTGTTCCTGATTGCTTATTTGTACCCTATGACTATCATTAAGTGTTGTACCTTATGATTCTTGATGAATGTATCTTGTCTTTTTATGTACACTGAGAGTATATGCACCATAGACAAATTCCTTGTGTGTCCAATCACACTTGTCCAATAAAGAATTCTATTCTATTCTATTCTATTCTGCTTTATTTCCTATTTCTAATTCTATTCTATTCGCGACTAACAACAACAAAGCCGCCTATGTGCGAGCAGGCGGCAATATAAATTCTCTAAATAAATAAAAATAAAATAAATAACTCGGGGCAGATGCCAGCAGCGGATGCTCCTTTCTCTCCCACGTTGCACTGAACAGTCGCATCGCCACCCCCGCGGTCTCCCGTTCAAATCCCCCACTAGCCCTCTCCCAAACGATTTCGCTCTCCGATCGCGACGGCATTATCTACCCGTATCCATTCTCCTTCGGCGTCTGCCCGTCGAATAGGTCTTGCATGAGAATTGCTCCCGGCCCCTTCACTAACCGAAAGGATAAGACACCCCCCCCCCCTCGTTCGCTCTCTCTTTGCTTCCAGCAACGAAACCGCTCGGCTCGCCTCTTCTCACTTTCCAAGGCACGATCACCAGCGACCGGCGGCCTGGGGAGAAAAACAAGCGGCGCCACTTCCGTTTGCCGATGGAGCTTGCACGTGGTTTAAGGGGGGGACGGCCCGTGGGACTCAGGATCCGAACGGAACTGACCCAGGGATGCATTTCATTAAGGATAACCCTCTCTAAGGGCACCGTGATTTCATTGCGGATTTCAGCGCATTGCGAAAGCACGAATAGTCTACCCTTAAAAGCAAAAAACAAAAACAAAAAAAACCGTCAAACAAATAGCCGTTATCAACTAACATTTGCATCAGGACGGGATGATTTCATTGCATTGCGAAAGCGCGAGTAGTTTAAGCTTAAAAAAAAAACCCTGCTCAATTATCAAGGGCTTACAGGTCTTCAAACTTGGCCACTTTAAGACTTGTGGACTTCAACTCCCAGAATTGGAGTTGAAGTCCACAAGTCTTAAAGTGGCCAAGTTTGGGGACTCTTGATCAAGGGTTTCTTGCCTGAGCAGGGGGTTGGACTAGATGACCTCCAAGGTCCCTTCCAATGCTGTCATTCTGTTAAAACCTTGCATTCATCTTTACTTCGGATTTAGTTTTGTCTTTTATACGTATTTCCACCCAACTAAAAAGGACATCTTTTTAAAAATAAAACACAACAGCTGTAGAGGGAAGCCTTCGAATAATCTCCCTGCAGGCGTTTGTGAATATTTTTTTTACGCCACCGTAGACTTGCAAGCTAAGAACCCCAGCCATTCTTCTTTTTTCGTATCTCTATATTCCAAAGGAATTCACGTGACTTCCCCGGGCCCACTTCCCCGGGCCTCCTCCTCCTCCTCCTCTCCCTTCCGCAGCCCCAGAAGATGACGAGGCTTCCTCGCAAGACTTGACGTCCTCCGAAGCGTGTCTACGCCACCCAAGCTCTGAGAGGCGCAACGACTTCAGCCTCGCCGCCCCCCAGACAGTGGGGCGGGGAAAGGGGGCGGAGAGAGGGAGAGAGAAAGGGAGAAAAACAACCTCGCGGCGCGGGACGGCGAGAGAGGTTTGGGGAAGGGGAGGGGGAGGGAGCCGAAGACCCTCGTGGGTTGTGAAAACCTCCCACGCCTGGCCCTTTAAATTTCCCGTGGGGGGGGGCAGGCCTCGGAGAAGATGGCGGCGCTTTGAGAGGCGAGATGGAACCGCCTGCTCTCGCCGTCGCGGCGGTGGTCTTGCGGCTTGAAGCCTCTTCGGGCAGGACTGGATAGACGAGCCGGGAGGCTCTTTCTGACCACTAACCGAGACCCCCGGACCCTTTCAAGCAGGCTTATTGCCACGGTCTATCGTCTCCCTCCCGCTTTCAACTCTGGTTGACATTCAGTGACAGCCTCGGCACACGCCCCTTTCTGGAGTTCCTGACTGGTGGGACTGTCAATCCCAACCTTCTCCCCCCTCCCCCCCGACCCGTTTTCTTCCTCTTGAACAGACCCCCGTTTGGTAACTCCCGAAGACCTGTTTTTGTGGGTTCCTGGCTCCCGTCCTCCAGCCCCGCATCTCATTTCTTCTAACTTCCCTGGACTTCCCATCTCTCTCTCTCTCTCCCTCTCTCTCCTTGGCCACCATGCCTTGGCCCTTCTCTGAGTCGATCAAAAAAAGGGCCTGCAGGTATCTGCTGCAGAGGTACCTGGGCCACTTTCTCCAGGAGAAGCTCAGCTTGGAGCAGCTCACGCTGGATCTTTACCAAGGCACAGGCTGCTTGGCACAGGTGCCTCTAGACAAATGGGTAAGTGTTCCAGTTCCAGCTGGCAAAATGAGGAATTGTCTTTTGGCAGCTGTTTGTTTCAGTTTCTTGCCCCTCTTATTGTTCTGATTATCATTCCCTTGACAAAAATGTTGGAGAGCACTAGAGCGTATTGAGTAGGGGTGAAATTCAGCAGGTTCTGACAGGTTCTGGAGAACCGGAGTGGAAATTTGGAGTAGTTCGGAGAACTGACAAATACCATCTCTGGCTGGCCCCAGAATGGGGTGGGAATGTAGATTTTGCAATAACCTTCTCCCAGGGGTCGGGAGGTAATGGGAATTTCGCAGTATTCTTCCCCTGGAGTGGGGAGGGAATGGAGATTTTGTAGTATCCTTCCCCTGCCACGCCCACCAAGCCACGCCCACAGAACCGGTAATAAAAGAAATTGAATTTCACCACTGGTATTGAGGCTGTTTGGAGTAATCCAGGTTTGATAAGATGTAAAAACAGATTTACCTGTGAGCGATATGTCATTCCCAAATAATTTGGATCATAATCCAAGTACTTATTTCTATCCTTTTTAACTGAAGCCATCATGATGGCATTGAAGTCAAAATTTATTTTTTTATTTTATACTTAAGGAGAGGGGAAAAAAGGGAATGATAAAAGAAGTGGAAAATGGTTGCCTCATTCAGGTTGTTTTCAGTTGGCTCACTTGGAATAAGTGCAAATTCATGTTAGAGTTTACTTCTGAATCAACTCACATTTTGATACATTATATTTGGTGAACAATAATAATTTCAAAAAGAAGCCAGATAAGGAAAAAGTATCTAGATTATGGAAATTCTAGTACTGGATATAGTGTTTGACCATTGAAAATATATTTTGCATTATGATTTGAAAGTAGGATTACTAAGTGCCTAATTCCATTATTTGCATGATCCTGTGAAAGTGTAATACACACTTCATAGCTATGGTAGGTATTTGATCAAATCCATATTTGACAGCATTATAATTTAGTGATAAAGACAAGTTTTAAAAAATTCAATTTATGTAGAGAAGTACAAATCATGCCTTTATATTTTAATATAAACATCAAGGGTCTTTGTAAGCAGAAACACTTTTGTGATATTATGTCTCAGTTTAGCTTTTATAGATCAAGTATATTTTTACAGAAATTTAGAAGGTATTTAGAAATTTTAGAAAATGTTTTTTACTAAAGTTTTATTTTGTAGAATAGTATCTTTCTCTATTTTTATATTTTAATTGATATAGAAAATATTACAATTCAACCCCAGCAAGACAAAGTGGCTGTAGGTATTTGGACTTTTTGAAGACAAAGTACTTCCATCTTTCTGTCTGTGGTTGCACTACCTCAGACAGACCTGGTGTACAATCTGGGGGTCCTTCTGGACTTGTGGCTCCTGCTTTTGGTGATGCATCAGTTGAACCCATACCTATACCTAAATACTGCTCACAATAACTCAGGCTAATTCAAGATGGTGGTGGTTACCTTTAAAGCCCTATATAGCTGGGACTGAAATACTTGAAGGATTGCAGGACTGCCTTTTTCCAAAGCCTCTACCAGCCCAACCAGATCTAGCAGAATGGGCATGCTGCAGATTCTGTCTGCCAGAGTATCTGCTGGCAGTGACTAAAAGATGGCATTTTTGCAATGCTCACTCCTCTATGGAACATTGTCCCTTCGGAGATTAGAATTGTAACCTTTCTTAAGGTCTAAAAACCTGACTATGTTTCCAACCCTGGGGCACTGAATTTTATTTTATGCTGCCCATCTCCTCTACAAGGTGACTTTGGACAGCTGTGTGAATGTGTTAAAGGCCCTGTTTCCTGACTGTATTTCTAACTAGCCAAATATCAGGCTGCTATGTAAATTTATTTTGTTTCTATTTTTTATTCTTTTAAAAACTGTTTTTATTATTTTGATTGTTTTGTGTGTGTGTGTGTGTGTGTTTGTGTGTGTGTTTGAATTGTAAACTGCCCAGAGTCATTGACTGAGATGGGCATCTATAGAAATTGAAAGAATAAATAAAACCACTTGAAATAAAATGTTTAGTTTTAATATAAGTATTTATAAATTTTCTTTTTTTTAAAAGAAAATTTGGTTTAAAGAATCTTATGATTTAGGAATCTTAACTATCTTTAGAACGTCTCAATCAGAAACCCTGCAGCTGAGGAAAAAATGTGAATTAAGTTATGGCTACTCACTGATTGCCTTCATTCAGTGATTGCCTTTCTTATCTGCGGCAACATGCATTTTCCTTCCCATAGCTTCAGTCTGGCATTTCAGCTGCTAAATGTTATCTTTGGGAAAACTTCAAGGTAGTATCTCTTGAATGTTAGAGTTGTTTCCTTTCTAGCTTTTCTTCTCCCTTTTAAAAATTTTAGGCTGTTAACATTGGTCTTTAATGCATTATGATAACATTGCTTTGAGTCAGGTTACCAGAAGAGGTAATTGTTAGCAGTAACCACAATGACTTGTTGAGGCTGTCATGTTGGATACAATTAGTAAGCAAAGCCTTTTTGTTCCTTCTATTTAGCATTAAACATCCTCAGGAACTCTACCTATTAAAGCTTTTTATTTAATTCTCTAATGTAATACTCTAATAAGATAATATATATAGACATTAAATGAGAAGGCTCTTTTTAAAACAATTATAATCAGTACTTTCTGTGTTATGATAAAATATGAAATTGATAATGATAATGTTGGTAGATGCAAGATAAGCTTCATAAAATTTGTTAAAGTTCATATTAACTAAGATTTGATAACATTTCTGTTCATATAATATCAACAGGTAGAATTCTGGAGCAGGTTCCCTCTCTTTGCTTATTCTACCTTTTAATAAAATACAGAATATTACAAAGAAAGTTTCTCTTGTGGCTTGAAAATGAACTTTTTAAAATAGTAAGAATGAAGGTTACGACAATTCTAAATATTGACATTTAAAAGTGCAAGGTTGAGAAGCCATTGGATTGATTTGTAAGTAAGATATGTGTACTATGAATGTACTTTATTGCCCAACAGTTGTGGATCTGAAATGTTCAGTCCACATGTATGAAACTGATTAATCAAACCAGATTTTAGCAACTTACTGAAAATTGGTACTACTATCTATTTTCTCAATTCTGTAGTTTGATTCTCTGGAATATTGCAGTCATTTTGATGGTTTTCTGATTAAAGCAAATACCCTATGTGACTTTAGGGTGTTTTGAATGAAGGTTTTGCGAGTGCAAAATTAAACACAAAAGTTTTTCTCATTGTGACAAACCAATTCGTGGATCTAATTCTGCCTAGAGCCAATTTATATTCTGATTCATATGTAGCAAAGAAGGTCCACTTACATTGTAAAGTGTCATTATTTTAAATGGCAAGAACCCTTCTTCATTTGAGGCTATTGGATTTTTGATAAATGTATTATGAGTCTATTCTTGGCATAGCCATATTTGCTTATTTCAGTTACTATAGCCTAAGGATGTAGAGAGAGTTCCTGGAAAGATGCAGTTTATCACATTCACTCTTGTCTGTTTAGGCACTAATGTTATCCAAAACTAAGCTTCTGAAAGAGAAACTTTTCACTGTCCTTAGTTCTGTATGGTCTCTAAATGTATCTCCTGATAATTTCTTGGATATCTCAGTCATATTCAGTGCCATTTTATGGAGTCTGGCTTCATTGGAAATAATCCTACTTATTAAGCACTCAAAGAATCAACCTCTCTCTGCCCCCATGACTATCAGGTAGAACCTCCCATCCAGGAAGGAACAGAATTACTTTGGTACAGTTCTTCCAACCCAATCAGGTGGTCCTGAAGGATACTTATTAAATTTATTGGAGGCTTCTGATATTGATTATGACAAAGGTGATCATGATCTTGAGGGGCTCCATGAGAGCCCCTCTGGATCATCCATGAAGGAAACCAGCTTGGTTTTAGTCTCATGCCAAGGCCTCAATCTTGATTGTCACAGGTCTAGATGTAATCTGTTTCTTCTACTCTTTCCATAACTTCCTCTAATATTCAAGGCATGTTCTCTTTGGTGAGCTTTTTGTAAATTTGTTTTCCTTGATGTTTTGTATATATTTAGTATCCTGTATTGTGACTGACACTTTTTAGAGCTTCTTAAGCTTAATAAGCTCCATGGGTGATATTTTCTACAGCAGTGGGTTATGCTAGGGGAAACAATATTGACTGTGTCAAGGTTATGAGATTACAGGAATATGCAATTGAGAACATCTGTAATGATAAAATGTCTGAGCTGTAAACTGAATTCTTCATGAAATATTGTATGTTCTTAAATGAACACCATTTTTTTCTTATGTCCACTTTTATGGATTGTTTTTAATTAACTTTTCAGTGTTTCAGCATTTGAAACACCCAAGCCTTTGCCTTGTTTCAGTATGTTAAAATATCGTTATCAATGTATTACTATTGATACTTTCCCACAGCTTTTTATTACTGATTAACACACTAACATGTGTTTACATAAGCACAAATAGTTGTTGGCAAGTATGGCAGGCATTTTGCTAAAAATAATAATATCTTAATTGTGACAAAGCCTTTACAATCTGCTTTTAACTTTTCTGCTAGGTATCTGTCACATTATCTGTGACTATGAAATTAAATTTTATAATACTTAAAATGGTAGTGATAGCTAATTGGATTTGTTGACACAGGATTTGTTGACACGGAATATATGAAGCAAAATGTATTATTTTATTGCAGCATAAAAGTTATAGAAATGGGTGTATCCAACCATATTCAGTATGGGCATTTCTATGAATGCATATCCGATTTGCATTAAAATTACAGATTGCTGAGGAGAAGGAGATAGGATTAAGGGATTTGTTTTTGTATTATATAATAAGAGCTATGGTGCATCATATGAGAAACCTAGGTGTATACAGTATTCTACCATGTTTTTTTGCACAATGGCTAACCAGATGTCAGTAATTAGATTACAAGCAGGACATGAGTACATTAATATTTTTCATGTATATTTTGCACTTACCAGAACCATTATATATTCATTGTGACCAGTACCAGACTTTGGTAATTTTAACCTGTATGGATTGGCCTAATCATCTCCCATCCAACTTGACAACCATCTTTGTTATTTTAAACACAGAGGGATTTTTAAAAATTGTTTTTGGTGTGTGCTTCAGCTTCAGTCTTCAGAAAGAGCTTCAAAGCACACAAGAGTATGAAAATAAGATCTGTCTGCAACATGTTTTTCTACCCACCTATGTTCCCCTAATTATGGGCAGCTTTGGAAGGCAGCCACAAGGTGGGATCTAATAACCACACACCAAATACCAAGAAGTATTAATCTAAAAATACCATATCATTTCCACATATCGAAAAACACCTTTTGAAGATTGAACCTTAAGCATTGTACTACCCTAACTGTAACTTGTATTTTTGTAGGCAGTTAAATCTACTTTGTCCTAAATGCACAAGAGAAATTACCCATATTTATATTAAAAATTGTAATTAATATTACAAATTCTAATAAATACTACAATTCTATATTCTTCTTCAATATGCTTAGAGCCTGAATGAGATTCTGGAATCGGCAGATGCTCCGTTGGAAGTTACTGAAGGATTTATTCAGTCAATATCTCTGTCCATTCCTTGGGGCTCTTTGCTTCAAGATAACTGTGCACTTGAAGTAAAGGGCTTAGAGATGGTCTTCAAACCAAGGCCATGTCTAGGTAAGTTAATAAACAACGGTTGCTTGTCATTACATATTCTATAATTTTTTTGCATGTTAGAAGATAAGTGGATTAGTGTAAATGATCTAGTATCACAATACAGGTAGTTCTTACTTAATTATCTTAATTGGGATTGGCAACTCCATTGCTAAGTAAACATCATGTGATTGCCCCACATCGCAATAGAAGCCCTAGCAGTCCTGTTTCCATTTAAGCGAATCACCCATGGTCTCTAAGCAAGACATTACATGATGGCATCACATGACCTCCTGCTGTCTTCCCTATTGACTTTGCCAACTGAGAAGGTTGCAAATGGTGCTCACATGACCACAGGGACACTATGATAAATGTGAGGCCTGATGATATGCCACTTTTTCAGCACTGTTGTAACTTTGAATTGCAATAAACAAATAGTTGTTAAATAAGCACTACTTTTATCCACTTAATTTTTGCTAGATGGAATATTTGAATATCAAATAAGTATGGTATCATGAGGCAATATGTATATTTATCCATGTCTAATCAGATAATAAGGAAATAAGTATTACCGCAGATAATCAAAGGATTGTTTAACAAAGGATATTGGTCTTGTTCAAATATATGCATTTTTTGGCTCAAATACTTTATTTCAAAACTATGATATCCTTTGCCTTATAAACAAGTTTGTTACTTTATAAACACAGTTGTAGGCTATTGAGATGTATGTAGATTCACTGTGTTTACAACTTGATTTTTAAGAAGAGATTGGACAGCCACTTGTTTGAAATGGTAGAGTATCACCTGCTTGAACTGGGGATTGGACTAGAAGACCACCAAGGTCCCTTCCAACTCTCTGTTATTCTGTATGTTATAAACTCACATCTAACTTAAAGTTTCTTCATAAAATAGTGTTCATACTGCTTTTCTTTGTTCAGAATCTTTATTGTAACTATATAATTAGATCTATTGTCTGAATCCTGACTATATGGGAAAACCAGTCTTATTTTATAATGAGGACTCAGATTGTTGGGAGCAATATGCTGATTCTGTAAATTTTTTAGAGAGGGCTGCAAAGCACTGTGAAGTGGTGTATAAGTCTAAGTGCTATTGCTATTATGTAGCCGTATAATATTCATATATCATGTTCATACTTGGAGAGGTCCTGCTTTTCATTCACAGGTAATATAGGTTTGTTTATTGGCATCTCGGAGCAGTTGGAAAAACCCTCAGAATACTTAAGACCAAACTTATTACACTTATTGGATGTTTGTAATATAATTATCCATACTTTCATGTTCTGCTGTCGAAGTCTACCATTTTGATTTCTACAGCAGAAGAATAATTTTGTGTATTCTATTGATCTTGCAATATTTGGGCAGAACATTTATTCTCCATACATGTATGATGTAAAAACAGACATATCCTACAATTTACTCCACAATATTCTTTCTCTAGTTTTTACTTTGCTATCTTTAATGTTACTAGCGAAAAGTTTCTGTGTGAATAAGTATAAATTTTGAGAGGCTTCTCTTTTTGTTTACTACATAGGAAATCACTGCTGTGCAAATAGAAAGTATTAGTCAGCAATGTTTTGTTGATTGAGTTCATGATTTACTATTACTGACTCATCCTCGTGATTTAATATTAATAGTGGCTGAAGGTGACTAAAAATAAAGCATGTTTGACTTCTTTTGGTAGCTTCTAGTTCAGAACCAATGTATTGGTCAAGCTTTATGACGAGTAGCATGCAGCTTGCAAAGGAATGTCTTAGTCAAAAACTGACAGATGAACAAGGAGAAGGGTCCCAGCCTTTTGAAGGACTTGAGAAATTTGCTGAAACAATTGAAACAGGTACTGTTTGCTTCATAAACTGCAAAGCAAATTAACAATTAACCAAAAGTACATTTTGTTAATTAAGTCACAATAATTGTCTAGTTTTAAAATGTTGTGGCATTATTTAGTAGCATATAGGTGCTGCTGTGCTGTGCTGTGATAGGTTTGCATGCATAAACCACTTTCATGATAGTTAGAAAAGGGAGGCCAGTGACAATGTTCCACATGTTCATTGAGCAGTCTCTCCTGCCTAATATTTTAATCATTAAATGTTTTCTACCCAGATGGTGTCTGAATTGTTAGAAGAAATGCACATACCAACTGTTCTTCTTATATAGTGATTAGTACATTGTAATCTGATTTTACTTGGATGGGTGGGGAGACTGAAAGAGTTCATTTGCCTGTATAATTAAAAGGAATAGTAGCAGCATCATTACTTCAATTTTTTTATCCAGCATTTCTAGCTGTCAGGTGCAAAAACAACCAGGAGTCAGGATAGAATTAAAAAGCACTATGCGTTTATTTCATGCTATTTATATGCAAGAATTTGATCTACTAACAATCAAGGCAAATTGGTGCCAAATAAGAGTCAAGGGACTTAAAGGATAACTGGACTTAAGGTTCTTTTAGGGTTGTAGCTGTTCCAAACTGATGATGTCTTTAATTCCACCCTCAGGCTCAGTCTGGTCAATTCTACATCAGCCAGCAGATGCTTGGAAATAGTAGTATCTACTTAGCTGATACAAGATTATATAGCTTTTTAAGTATTTATTTCCTTCTGGTTTAATATACTTTGTGATCAGTTATGATTTATAAATTATGGTTTATTGCTCAGTGTGATGTGTATTGGATTTATCTTGATGATATGATTATTTCTGCCTAAACTGAATCTAGCAGGTATAACACTTATTTCTTATCTTGATATTTTTACTATAGTTTTAAGAAGAGTGAAAATCAATTTTTTAGACACTGTTCTGAGAATTGAACATGTGCCAGATAATTCTAAAAGTGGAACAGCACTGGAAATTCATATTGAGAAGTAAGTAGGTTTTGTTTTTTATTTTAAATGATGGCTGAAATAGAATCAGTACTTTGTGAGAATTTAAAATAAAGTTTCTATTGTATTCCTCAATAATAGAACTTGACATTGATTATGTCTGTAGCAATAATGATTTGGATTGTAAACATGTAAGAAGATATAGGAATTTTGTAATTAAATTAGTGCATTAATGTTACTAGAGGTTAAGTTGCATATGCTTCTCTGCCCATTGATATAGTAATGCTTTGCTAGATTTTTATGGAGATTCTCAATCATCCAGGTCATAGTTGTTCCAAAGGTGCTTTTTCCAAAAGGCAACTGGATTTTCTTGGGTTTTTTTTCTATGAAGCTATTCATGTGATAAAAACAAGAACATTGTCAATTTATATTCTATCCTTATTTCATTATTGATTTCACTGCTTACAGAACGGTGTACTGTGATGAAACTGCTGATGAATGTTCTGGAAATGTGCATCAGCCCACAGCTTTTGCTCACAAATTATTACAGCTCTCAGGTGTCTCTTTTTTCTGGGATGAATTTCCGGCATCAGCAAAATCCTCTCCAGTCTGTTCCACTACACAGTTGGTAAAATTCTATTTATTTTTTTATTGTATTTCTATAGCACCAGAAATTCAAATTTCAAAATATGAATCTTGGTAAGTTACACTATAAAAGCAAAGCACATTGATTCAATAAAAGCAAAAAATAATAATACCATGATACAGATATATAAAATGCTAATGTGTTGTAGCAACCATTTATTTTGCAAATGCCCTCCACTGATCAGTCATAAGTGTTTTTAGAAGGACAGCAAAGTTGATAGCCTACCTTCAATGGGAGAGTTTGGTGTTATTTGGCAGACAAAATTTAAAATCATTGTCTTTCTCTCTGACCTCAGAGGCATGTTCAGCAGGGTTCTTCCATATGGAGAAGACCCCAATTCCAGTTGAACTTCCAGTGAAGAAGATGATAATCTCATGATCAAAACTACAGCTGGGTTATCATTCAGCAGAGACAGTAACCTTCCATCTATTGAGATTAGATAGCTGCTCTCCTGTCACCATCAGTATTCCAAGAACTTGTTTAGTATTTGTCATTATGGATAATGATGAAATTTATGAAAAATATGCATAAATGTATACAGGTAGTCCTTGCTTAACATCCACTTGTTTAGTGATGCATTTGAAGTTATGATGATGTAAAGAAGGGACACAGTGGTCCTTGCAGTTGCAGCTGATGTAGCATCCCTGAGGTCATGTGATTACTACCTGCAACTTTCACTACCAGCTTCCATGAAGCAAAGTCAGTGCGGAAATTTTTCAGGAAATTGCAAATGATAATCAGCCATCCCTACAATTGTGTGGAATTTTCCTAACATCTGGGACAATTAAAACTGCTGTCATAAGTTGGTGTGCTTACGTGACATTGTGCTTTGTGACTTTCTCACTAAGCATCAGAGCTTCCTCTGCCAGTTACCATCAAGAAGCAAGGGCTATCCGTATAAGTGTCTGTATGTATTGTACAAATTACATATTTAAGGCATAAGCATTCCTGCCCGTTTTCTCTCCCAATTTTCATATTTTCTCTCCCAAGCATTTGCAGTTTTGAATGTCTATTTCTGTAAAGGCTGAATTGAGCAATTTAGCATTTACCAAAATTTTGTTAACTCCATCCATACAGATTACCATGCACGTTTGTTTGTAAAATATAGCAGTGTAGAATATTCTGAATTAAATATTCAATGTTGCTTCGTAGTCAGTTATAAGTCCACTTTATCCCAAAGGCACGTAGCCCTTCTACCCTCCCAAATTGTTCAATATTATTTCAGCTTACCATTGTCTTTTTTCCCCCTAAGGCATTTCCTGTAAAGCACTATAACCACAACCATGTTATTATTTAAAATGCCTCTGCTTGTTCAAAGCTCATTAGCTTTGTATTAAAAAGAAGTGAAATGGGAAGGGATACTTCGGAGTTAGCATTCTTTCCAAGCAAGTTATCTTGCTAAAAACTAGAACAATAAAACAAAGTTTGTGTAACAGTTTGGCATATGCTAATCGCAAAAGCTCCAGCTCATAATTTAAGTGACCCATATCACGTTCTAGTCAGAATATTAGACACTATTATTTATTTATCAAACTAAGCACTACCCATCCGACTAAGTGTCTCTGAGTGGTTTATAGATAAAAATCATAGAACCATACAAAAGAATTAAAGATAGACTAAAGAGGATAATAAACAAGTAAAAATAAAACATAAAACATAAGTAAAAATAAATAAATAAATAAAATAAAAATAAACAAGTAAAAATAAAGAAAAATGATAAGTTAAAAGGCAGAGAGAACACCCTTAAGGCACACTCAAGATTGCATAGTGCCCTTGGATCCCCATACAAGTTGGCAGAGTCAGATCTTCATGCTCTTCTAGAAGGCCAGGACATAGAGAGAGGACAATTGCAGAGACATTTTGCTATAACACCATAGTTAAATTTGTAATGTTAACAATGCTTTTATCCTGTTATTGCAGTGTTTCTAGTTTTGTGTTTGTACAAAAAATTCTGTACTGTAGTTTTCTAATGGCTTGAATACATGTATTTCTGCTCACAGCCAAGAAAGTATGCTTATCTATATTTTTATTTATGTATTTTATAGTTAACAGAACCAAAGCTTTCACCTAGCTGGAATCCAAAAATTATGTACGAGCCACACCCTCAACTACCACGAAACCTACCTGAAGTTTCTCCCTCAGATCCTGTGCAAATATGTAAGCTGATTGGAAGGATGGAACTGAGTCTTACATTAAAACAAAATGAAGTGCTTCCAGGAGCAAAGGTTAGTTGTTGATTTTAGTCAGGTTTTTTTCGCCCTTGGGATATTATTCAAGTCTTGTTATAGATATTTCTCTTTATTCTACATTCAATTTTTCTTTGATAAAACTTTTTTGTAACCAATTGACACGCTTTCTACAAGATGTAATGAAGGATGATTCTTTTTTTGTGTTTTTGTTTAATTAAAACAATAAAACTTTTCAAAAAAAAAAGATAAAGCTTTTTTGTACATAGTTGAACTTTGCTTAGTCTACTGTGTAAAAGTGAAGGATAAGCATGTCGTAATTATTAGGCTGTTGCATGTCCATTCTTTAAAATCGGTGCAGATAATCTGAAGTGTATGTCACTAACTGCTGCATTCTTGCTGTCTAGGGTTCGATCTTTTTTTTCTATTTTAAGGCAAAGAAGGGCAAAAGAATCAGAAGAAATAAATACAACTAAATAAAAATACATGCAATTAAAACAGCGGTGTTTTAGTTACAGACCCAGACAAGAAGAAAAAATCAAGTTAAATTAGTACAATGTCATTTGTAACATTTTAAAATCACATTATTTAAGTAGTAGTCACCACTTGTCAGTTTTAACTCAAAGGCAAGAAACAAGTACATCAAGAGCGAAACAATAATAGCCTTTCTTTTAGTTTTTGCAGAACTAAAACTTGTATTAGATAGATAAACTATTGACAGCAGAAAACAGGAACAAAGAAATCTTTGAAATAATCCCAAAGTGTCAGGTGCAAAGAATCAGGTCCATTTATAAGATGCTAACATAAATGATTTATTCAAGCCTATACATAAGAATCTGATCAACTAAAGTGCAACACTAAATTGGTACCATATAAGGATCAACAGAATTCAGGAAGGTTTGGACTTGGGCACTTGTGGGAATACAGTGACTCTAAATTGATGATGTACTTAACTCCACTCCCACCCTGCTCTGCCTACTCTTCTCCTATACAAAGATCTTTTTAAAACATGAGAGTCGGAGGTGAGATTTGTATCTCTTTAATTAAATCAGTGTTAACATGGGGGCTCAGTTTTAGTCAGGATATAGAGTACTGGTAGGTATATATACAGTAAAACCTCCCTAAGTCAACCACCTCCTTAAGTTGACTGATGAATTGTATATACCACTTTTCAAGTACATATTTCCTAGGTTTTACGTGACATATATATTGTAAGTATGCAGTCCTTGGTGTTTCTAAGTTTAGTTGTTTTCTTGCAGATCAGACTGATGATGTTACCTAGTTGGGTAATTAAATGTCTGCAAGAAAACAACCAAGGTCAGAGGGAGCCAAAGTCTTCCCAGTTCAACCCTGACCCACAATTTTTTTTTCTATTGATACCATATATTTCAGGTGTTTAAGTATGTCTGTAAACAATAATAAAGCCTTGGAGTGCCAGCTGCTAATTTCTATGTATGTAAAAAGAGATGGTTCAGTTTGGAGATACCAAAGAATGTTTATAAAGAATTAAGCTGAAACATACAAATGCTAATCAAAAATAATGTGCAAACTGGATTCCAATAAATCATTATATTTCACAGACAATCCACAGTATATTTCATAAGATAAAGGATTAAAATCAGAGATGAAAGTTCTGTTTTTGTTCAATGGCAAGATTGATAACTGAGAAAACTGGTTCTTATCAAATGTATTAAATCTTTTTTTTTAAAGTTGGACGTAGATGGACAGATAGATTCCATACACCTGTTCCTGTCACCCAGACAGGTACATCTTTTATTGGATATGTTTGCAGCTATTGCCAGACCAGGTAAGTTGTTGTTTAGTATCATTGAAATAAGGGGAGCAGTCTGAGTTTTGCATGTTTGCACAGCTTTAAATATCTGCTAGGCAACTTTTTAATGTAGTTACAGGAAGTGTACAGCTTTTAATGGGGAAGCATAGCTGATATGCCATCACTGGAACAGTGAGACAGAATTATTTCAAATATAGGCTTTGAAGCTAAGGTGGGGAAAATTGTCTTTCATGGGACTTTGGAATTAGATACCATATTTTTCTATTTTTTGTTTGCAGAGAATCCTGGCAGAATAGAATTATCTAATAAAGACAGAAAAAATCGGCCAATGCAGCAGGAAGATGAGTATCGGATTCAGATGGAGCTCAATCGTTACTTGAGAAAAGAAACTTTGCCAGTAGGCACACAGTCTGATCTGAGTTTTTATGAAGCTGGGGCAGGTAGAACTCCTTCAAGTCGTGGTGAGCAAACAACCCAAGCTTCCTAGTATGGGGGCATATTACTATTTATATGGGTTTGCACATAACACTAACTTACAACTTTTAAATCATGATTTGTGGATTTGAGCTTATGGAATTAAACATTGCATTTAGCCAAAACCAAACAAGCCACATAATAGTTTAGCATGAATCAGCGACTGAAGAATATTTGTAAGAAATTCAACATTATTTATTTTCTTCATTTCTACTGCTACACAATTCAGAAGGGTTGACAGCTTGCATTAAAAACTCATTAAATATCCACAATACAACCCTTGTACAGTCAGCAAAACACCACTCAAATGGAAGTATTTTATGTGCAAAAGCCTGAATATCATCAGTTCATACATTTTAAAGTCATTGAATAATGTTAAATATAACATCTATTTCAAACTTCTCAGAGTGAAACAAAAGGACTTAAAGTAAGCTAAACACTTAAATATTAGATTTAATTTTGAATACATTTTACTGCCTTAACAGCAATCCCAATGTCACTCTTGTGACATAGCAAGAAACGAGACAAAAGTAATAACAAGCATATATAATATTATTCAAATTCCACCTTTAAAACATTTGCATTCCAACATATGATGCAACTATATAAGTTGTGATATTTGGATTATGATGCCTATTTTGTTACTTGCACATTATTTCACTTGTAAAAATTGATAAGAAGCTAGTGAATTTTGTTGATGTGTTATTAATAGTTAACCAGTGTTGAATATGTATAGTTTATTTTTATGCATTAGATAATATACTTCTCAATTACCATGATAGACTGAGAAATTGAGAGTGGGGAAGTTGGTGTAGAAGAAATTCCAGATAATCTTAAGTTATGTAGTGGCTTTTAGAGAAATATATATGACTCAATACACAGTACATATATATTGTTTTCTTATTTCTCTATGTGTGACATAATGTATTATTCAATGTTTGTGCTTCTTTTCTAAATTGTGGTTCTCTTTCATATAAGATATTGCATAAACTCTGTCATAATGCTGTTTTTGAGACCGACAGCTTTGTGCTTTTCCTTAAATTGTGATTAATCTTTTTATATTGAATGTTACAAATGATATTTACTCTTTTCTTTTAGAAGAAGAAGTTTTTTTCTCAATGGCTGACATGGAGATGTCTCACAGTCTTTCTTCGTTGCCACCTCTTGGAGAACCACCAACTATGGATTTAGATCTTTCTTTAACTAGTACATATACTGCTACCCCAGCAGGATCTCCACTTGGTGCTGCAGTGGTATGTAATATTTAACTGTTTACATCTGAGTAAAGGAACTTTGTATATTTGGGGGTGTATGGTTACACCCCCAAATATTAAGACCATACTAAGCTAAATTTAGTGATAACCATGGCCAAAAACATGCATGCCTCCAGCATACAATCACATTTTCTACCCAAGTATTGATCCTGCCTTCTGTGGGTCCGTAACCACTTATTGCAACATGTTTTGTGCTGGTTAATTGTCTGGGTTTTTAATATATATTTGTAAATAGTAAAGTCTGTAATGGCCTGAAAGGCTTTGGAGCTAAAATGCATGAATTGTGGGCAAGCTAATACTCATCCTGCATCAGCTCATTTGTTTCCGAAAATATTTGTTTGTTTGTGTTACCACATCTTGTATGCTGTTATATTTCTGGAGACACTGAATTAGTGATGGGATTCAAAAAGTTTTACTACCGCTTCTGTGGGCATGGCTTGGTGGGTCTGGCATGGCTTGGTGGGTTTGGCAAGGAAAGTATACTGTAAAATCTCCATTCCCTCCCCACTCCAGAGAAAGTTACTGAAAAATCCCCATTCCCTCCCGATCAGCTGGGATTCTGGAGGCAGAGAATAGATGGGGTGAGGCCAATCAGAGGTGGTATTTACTAGTTCTTGGAACTACTCAAAATTTCCGCTACCAGTTCTCCAGAACTGGTCATAAACTGCTGAATATCACCTCTGCACTGAATCTGTTATGATATTTGTATACTGATTCAAAACAAATAGTACAGTTAAAAACAATGAAAATTGTGGGTCACTGTTCACATATAGTATAATTTTACTTCTTTCCAGATCCCTTCTGAAGAGTCATGTTTTTTATAGTTGTCCAAAAAACAAAACAAAAAAATCCACCAATAAGATGATATCTGGAGGCATACTTTCTAAAGGAGGGGAGCCATTGCTGGGATGACTTAAGCCCAGGTCCTTGAAGCTGGCATTCCACTAGTGAGGGGGCTCACAACAAACTCTTTCTCCTGGATCTTACTGGACAGTCAAAATCACTTTGAACAATGTGGTCACATATATACAGTGCCTGAGCCTGTTAAAGCTTTAAATGTATAAATCAGCACCTTGAATTGCACCCCAAAGCTATCTGGCAGCCATTACAACTCCCATACTAGTGGTATTACATTGGTGAACCTTGATATGATCATAACTAGGAGATTATAGTATATTTTACAGCTGAAACTTTTGGATGGCATTCAAGAGCAGCTGCACTTAATCGCATAATTATAATCAAGATGTGAGGTGGCAAGAGCATTAATGATTAGTAATAAGTGATCTAGGAAAGACTGCAATAGGCACACAACAAGTAACTGTGCATAGGTACTTCCGGTTATATTGCACCATCTGTAAAAACAAGAGTCATGAGTTCAAATTGCAACAGCTCCATCTTTGACTAAATTAGCTTCTCAGTTCACAGCTACTGTCTTGGTAGGATTCAGTTTAAACCAACTCTGCCATTTAGCATCCAACAACTTTCAGCAGTAATCAGGACCGTCATCCCATTTCCTCATCAGCGCTGGGTAGACATACTTAATTGCGTATCATCAGCATATTTTTATACTTCACATTGTACTGATGGCTAGTTCCTATGGGTTTGTGTAGAGTTCAGAAGTAGTGGGGAAGAGAGTAAGCCGTCCAAGGACCATAACAGAGTGGCTGAGGGCTTGACTTCTCTTTGTCCACCATATCTGGAAATCCCACTCATGAATGAAAACCAGTGAAAAAAAGAGTATCCACCTTCCAGCTTTTTCAGTCAATCCAGAATAATGTTATCAAAGGTCATCAAATGTTGGACAGAATGGAACCATGATGGTTGTAGTCCTTATATCCAGATCCTGCAATAATCATCAGCAAAAGTGATTACTACAGTCTTAACTGCATACCCAGGCTTGGGTCGTGATTGGAAAGAGTCCAAATTATACATTTCATCCAGGGCTCTCCATAAGTGTAGTCAAACCACCTTCTCAGCAATCATACCTAAAAAAAATGGTTGGAGACTATTGACATTTGTCTATATTAATAATTTTTTGAATAGGGAATACTTTTGTCTATAATGAAATTCAATTACTCTCCCAAGGCGTGGAGAAGGAACTCTTGAGTTCATGACTTGTGTGGACAGTCCCAACCCACAACACAGGCATTACATTACATTTGGTTGTTGTTGTTGTTTGCAACCGCTGAGAGGGTGGGGAACATTTCTATTGTTTACTTTTAATAATAAACTTACAGAGTGCTGAAAAGTTATATAATGGAAGAATAATAACATTTATGTTCTTATTTTAATAGCAGTCAACATGGGGAGAATTTGATCAAAACAAGCAGGAACTTCCACAGTTAAGAAGTGCATCATTTACACCTAACACTGATCATTCAGTTCCACTACGAAGGACTTGTAAGTGAAAACTGGGGAGTAGTATACCTCATTATTCAAAACCAACATAGCATATTTTTCAACATGGTGCAACAGAACCTTTTTCTTTCTTTTAGTGCTGTGAATAACACCATGTATATTGTTACATATAGTTTTAGTTTAAAAATAAAGTTATGTTAGGATACTATGTTTGAAACTGCAGTTTAAACTAGAAGTCAATCTTATTATCACCTACTCTTCTGTGTTGTTATTGTTAGTCTCCTGGTTTGAAATCTCAATCAAGATTTCAAATATTTACAGTGTAAGGTGTCACAGCAATCTATTTCTTTACCTGGTAGATATATTAATGATACTGGTAGTCCTCGACTTAACAACCACAATTTAGTCCAGCATTTCTGTTGCTAAGCAAGACAGTTGTTAAGTGAGTATTGCCTATTTTATGACCTTTTTTTGCCACTGTTGTTAACTGAATGTGGCTTCCCCAATGACTTTGCTTGTCAGAAGGTTGTAAAGGTAAACACATGACTCCAGAGATACTGCAACCGTCATAAATATGTAAATTCATATGCTAAGCATCTGAATTTTAATCACATGACCATGGGAATGCTGCAGTGGTCACAAGTCACTTTTCAGTGCCATTATAACTTTGTTTTCTATATGAATGAGGACTACCTTTATTTGAATAGTTAGTATTGGATCCAAAGTAACTGCTGATTTTGGGGTATTTCAAAAAGTTCGAGCTGAATATTTTATTTGGCTTTTTATATATGAACTCCTATTAATTTTATCTGGTGATTGCTTCAGAAAATGTGGATAGCTGTATTTTCATAACTGTATTTTCATAACTTGCATTCATAAATGCAAGAATGTAACTGTTACTGCCATATAATATATTGCTAAGTGTGAATTTGAATATGATACACCTTATGCTTTTAAAAAAATATTGTTTGAGTGTATTTTTATTATTGATATGCACAAATAAGGTATCAAGATACCTTATTATTTATGTAGAGTATTGAGCCATATCAGAAATTCTGTTTACTTAGGAAAGTAAGTATATTAAATATATAATGTAGTAAAAATGTAATCAATACAAATGCTACTTTTTTATCTAAGCAGCATTTCAAATATGCCTCAACTACATAGATAAGGAGATATATAGCTTCTGTATATATTATTTGATTAATAATACATTAATATAGTAATAATACATTGCAGTTGTAGCAATTGTATAAGAGCCGAGGTGGCGCAGTGGTTAAATGCAGCACTGCAGACTACTTCAGCTAACTGCAGTTCTGCAGTTCGCCTGTTCAAATCTCACCGGCTCAGGGTTGACTCAGCCTTCCATCCTTCCGAGGTGGGTAAAATGAGGACCAGGATTGTTGTTGGGGGCAATATGCTGACTCTGTAAACCGCTTAGAGAGGGCTGAAAGCCCTCTGAAGCGGTATATACGTCTAACTGCTATTGCTATTGCTATTGCTAATTTAATACTTAATGCTGATGTTATAGTAATTAAAAGTAGTGTTAAATTGTGAAGACACACTATTGAAGATTATTTTTAAGAGAATAATTTTTATTTCATTCCAGCTCTTCCATCCAGATCTATTTCAGTGGATGAGTCAAAACCTGAACTTCTTTTTAGACTAGTAGTGGGTGCTTTCTCGGTGTCCGTGCTCCATATTGATCCTTTACCACCACCTGAAACTTCACTAAACATTAGCCCGCTAACATCAATGGCACAGGATTTTTTTACCCAGATAGAAAAAGTTGATCCAGCTCAGATTCCCACAGAAGATTTTTTGTTGCTCCGAAAAGTATTTGCAAAGGCTTGTTCACATGACCATCTTCGGTACATTTTTTTTCTTGTTTATCTAGTAGTGTAACAACCAGAGCCCAGCAGTCTATATGAATGATGATAGATTAATATTAATTTATTGTTCAGTTAATATATAAATTGACATTAAAGCGTAATAGCTTTCAAACATAAAAGAGAATCCTGTGAATAGAAATACAATACATTTTGACTCCCTCCTGAATGTAGTAAGAAAGTGGTTGCTTCAAACCCACAGTAATTTATTCCATAATATGGGGTCTCATCGTTGACATAGTTGAATTTGATTTTGATACGAAACATATTATGATGGAACCTGTTTAAAGTGATGATTTTAAAGTATGGAGACAAATTGTATAGGAGTATTTTTTTTAAAAAAAATGTTTTTGTTTATTTGTATCCAGCCTTTATTTTTTTATATATAAATAATTCAAGGCAGTGAACATATCCATCCTTCCTCTTCCTGTTTTCCCTACAACAACAATCTTGTGAGGTCGGTTGGGCTGAGAGAGACTGGCACAACGTCACCCAGCTTTCATGCCTCAGACAGGACTTGAACTCATGGTCTCCCACTTTCTAATCTGGCACCTTAACCACTAGCTCAAACAGGCCAAATTATTCCATTTCCTCTATTTGCAAGAAGTTCCAACGTTCTTGGTCACACAGTAGGCAGTTGGATATGTTTGGGATGCTCATAAACCTGGACTATACAGCAGGGTTTGCCATTATTATTATTTAAAAAAAAATCTTGACCAATTTTTCTCTCTAATGGCAGATAGCACTTGGAGTGGATTACTTTTTCTTGTATTTCAGATACTGTTTCATATTTGAAAAAGTTAGTTTTATTTTGGCAGTTAAAATTATGTATTTTCACAACTTTATAACAATCAGTAAAGGGCAATTACATGTGTGTTTGTTGATTAATAGTTTGTTCTCTTATTTCTCATGCTAGCTTTATAGGTTCAGGCCTCAAAGTGTCCTATGAGCAGCGACAAAGATCATCTTCTCATTGTTTGAATACAGACTTATCTATTGGACAGATGGAACTTCTGGAATGCCTATTTTCTACAGACTCCCATTCCCATATTCCTCACTATACAGAGGTAAATTATATGTAGGCAGTTAGTATTAGTAGTTGGAATACACCAAGAAAAGTATAAAATTGTACTTATACTTTTACTTCTACATAAATTGCATTCATTGGGTAAATGTGTAAACATGATTGCTTTATGACAATTGACTTATTGTAGCTAGATGTTTGGATTGGAAATACCTATTTAGAAAAAAGTTGCTCCAGGCAGACATCATTCTTTTCCAGTGGGGAAAATTAAGATTGTAATATAATATAAAAAGTCTACACACCCATGTTAAAAAAAAATGCCAGGTTTTTGAGATGTAAAAAAAATCAGATCAAGATAATCAATTCAGAATTTTTTCTACCTTTAACATATAAGTAAAACAAACTGAAATATTGTATTTCAGTTACAGTATGGCATTTTAAAAGGTGTATAGACTTTCTACATCCACTATAGAAATCCATGCCAGCCAGGGCTTTTATAATCCAGCAATCAGAAAACAGTCCAAAATGCTTAACTATATTTTCCGTCTCTAAAACTCTTGGGGCTGTATTTTCTCCAATCTCTAAGGATATTGCAAAAAGCAAAATAATAATAATAATAATCTTAGGGATCTAAAATCTATTAGATTGCTCTAGATAACCTAAAAAAGCAAGGAAAATATGAACACTCTGGGTTGCTTGGTAATGAAATGAGGTGAACAATAACATTCTTCTCCCCCCCCCCCCCCAATATTTTGAGCTTTGTCATTCTGATAATCTGCTGATAGAGTGGTAACTACCCAAAGAGCAGATTTATTTCCTGTTTCATCACTCCATGTCTTCACCTCCTCTAGTGTTTTAGAAAGCTGAGGCTGAAAGAAGAATAAGAGTGAGGGATTTCACAGTGGGCATGTGGAAACCCATTACAAAATGGTAGACCGGGTTTTGGTTTTTCTAAGCTGTGTCTTAATTAGAATTATTACCAATTTTGTTGTCTTTCTTTTAAAGCTCCTTAAGTTTAACTCTGAAAAGCAAGAAAACAAGTTACATTCCCCCTCATGCCTTCAACTTCATTACAAGCACTTGGACAACAAAGGGCCTCAGGTAAAGTTGATAAAAAAATCTCTGAGTTTTCAAATATATAAATATAAATTTATGCAATTGTGTAGAAATTGTATTTTACATTTGTAATAGGTCTGTATTGTTTTATTAACAGGGTAGCCAGGGGAGGCTGAGTTCTGTTCCCCAGAAAGCAGATTTACAAATCAAGCTGAGTCCAGCATTCTGTGAATTGGATATTAGCATCGTAGACAGACTAAATTCATTGCTTCAACCACAAAAGCTAACCACAGTGGAAACTATGGCATCCCACATGTACACTTCTTACAACAAACATATTAGCCTGGTAAGTAGAAAATCATTCTGCTTTACTTGTGTACATGTTACATTTTGATTATTTATGGAAACATTTGATTTGTTGGAAATGTGATGTACTGACATTTTTGCTTATAATTAATTTGTTTACTTATTGGTCATATACTGTAACTGTCCCCTAGATAACTCAGACCAGTGCACAATAAAAAGACAGAAAACAAAAATAAATTGTGGTAAGATACAAAACAGAGTAAAAACTAATACAAAAATTTCACCAAGGCAATAATATCAGACAGAATTGCAAATCCTTCTGATTAAATCCCCGAGAGGAAAGCCAGGCATTATGAAAAACATCAGCCTTGAAAGGTCTTTTAGTGTAGTGATTTTTACATATGAGAAGACCTGAAGGTATTTCTTGGTTGGGAGCCTTCTAGAGTTTAATATAAGATGGGTGGCTATATAAAATATTTAAATACATAAATACAAACAATAATTTGTAGTGGTAGTAGTGGTAGTGGTATATATATTTCAATTAAATTTCCCCCTTCCCATGCTTTAAATTTTTTATTATTATGCACTGTTTTAGCACAAGGCATTTGCTGAAGTTTTTCTGGATGATTCACGTACTCCCACTAATTGCAAAGTATCAGTTCAAGTGACTGCACCAGCCCTGAAGCTTTCAGTTCGCTTCCCAATACCTGACCTACGATCAGATCCAGAACGAGGACCATGGTTTAAAAAATCACTTCAGAAGGAAATTCTTCAATTAGAATTCTCAGACACAGAACTTAAAACAGAATTTATTGGAGGACCATCTTCAGAGGAAATTCAAATAGAGCTCACTTTTAAAGAACTAACTGGTAAGATAAAGAATAATAGTTTATAATAGTTGCTGCCATGAAGTACAGGTGATCAGAGAACAATAGCCTATTTAATAGCCTAATTTACTATTAATAGCCTATATACTAGGGAAATAATGTTATATATTTGGCATATAAGTGAAAATAATTAATTATAACTTTATATAAAGCCCTTATGTTTTTGTTATCATGAGACAGGGGTAGGGAAATATGGCTCTTTTATGACTTGTGGACTTCAACTCCCAGTATTCCAAAAAAAAATGTTGAACTCCAGAAGTCATAAAGGGGTAATAGTTACCTCACCTCTGTCTTAAGAAGACATAGTCTGCAACTTACAGGATAGCTACTTTTCTCTGCAATTGAGAATCATGGTTACAAAAAACTTTCTTGTTTCTGACGAATGTAAAGACAAAAACAATTCTACTAAGTTTGCTATATGATTTGTTATTGCTTCACTAGTATTCATAGGAATATACGTACTAATTATTTTCTCGGTTTTTGTCGCAGGATCATTTGAAGAGAACAAAGATCAATCTGCTACACAGTTTTTTAAAGTTTCCAGTGGTGTTCTTGGAGAAATGGTTTCATCAGACAATTTTGACTGGCCACGGTAAAGCAAGATATTTCATCTTCTTCCTGTATTCTTAAAATGTTGATACACTGTCACACAATGCCTGTTAACAATTATTCCCTTTCTAAATCTTGGGTTTACCTACCCAAAAGCTGTATTATTAAAACCAAATTAATTATACTCTGACAAATTTGCAAAAACAGTTGAATGTGATTCTAACAATTGGATATTGTATTTTTTAATTTATATTTATAAATTGGATGTATCCCCTATTGTTGTTGAGTTGCTTTACCATAGCCCCAGATTAAACGTTTCTCAAGTCAAGGATGGAACTCTATGTTTCTATGGCTCTCTCTAACTAGATGGCTCTCTTGGCAATAATGCAAGTGATTTGCCATTGTTTCTGCTAGAATATATTTACATTTCCTACTTTAATTTACATTATTTTCTGGTGGCCTCCTATCCAATTACTAACAAGATCTGACCCTGCTAAGCCTTTTCCAGATTTGTCCCATCATCCAATCCATCATAATTGCTCTAAGATATATATGTTATAATCATTTAAAATAAGGGTCCCCAACCTGTGGGCCACGGCCCACTACCACGCCATGGTCCGTTGGTCACCTGACCAATGGACTGGCCAGTGTGTGCGTGCGCACGACCTCACTTCCGCTACCATCTCTATGAGTGTGACACAGGTACTACAGTTGATGCAAGTCTCGCACACATGCACATGTAAAGGCATCTGCGCCCCCCCACTCCGGACTGCCAACCTAGAAAAATTAGAGAACTCTGATTTAAAGCATCAAGGATAAAAATATGATTGAGACACTTTACAATTTAGCACATCATGTTGTGGGCTTATAAAGATATTAAAAATACATGGAACGTAAAAAGTGAAATGAGAACACTCGACAATACAAGGTGAAAAGGGGTGTTATAGAAAAAGGAGTGAAAAGGATGTATGATGTTTCCTGCTTACCTTTCATAACAATATAATTCATTTAACTTTCTCGGGAATTTGCTGTGTTAATTTGTTTGTTTGGAAAACAGGATTGTACTGAAAATAAACCCACTTGCTGTACACTCCATTTTGGAAAGAATGGCTCCAGAGGAAGAGGAGGAAATTGATGGTCATTTTCATGAGGAAGAAGAAGGAGGATGTCAATCCCTGAAGGAGCTATGCGATCTTAGAAGACCAGAACCATCTCCCTTTTCCTCTCGTAGAGTAATGTTTGAGAATGAAGAGGTAGGATGAAGATTCATACTTAGAGATCATTTACATGATTTTGGGAATTTACATGGTGTGTTTTTTAAAGCGTATTTGTATCATCTCAAAATGTAGTAGCATAACTAATGAAACTAACAAAAAGAATAATGCCAAGTAAGCACAGCCTGAACTTAGAATTAATTCTGTGCTGCTTAATTTACAATCATATCTTGAAGTTGTTGATAGTAAAATACTGCAAAACACAGTATTTGTCCTTTCATTCATAACATTTCTAGCCTACAGAACAGCTGTACTCAGCTTGATTGGTTTCTCATCATGTACATGTATACATCCAAAATAGACTGTGTTGTTTCTCCTTGGCATATAATATATGTGTGTATATGCATGTTTTTGTATGTATGTATGTATGTTTGTTTCATCATGTTTAGGTAATGTATATTGGAGGTGGAGACCCTTTGAGAGCTGTATGCAACAAAATTACATTTTAATGTATGCCAGTTAGTGTACATTCAAAGTGATAATAAAGCTATTCTAAGTCTAACTCTTAACTATGGATGGCTTTACAGTCAAAAATATAAAACAATAAAATATAAGAAAAATACGGCAAAAGCTTGAAGGAAGCAGATAGGAAGAAAAACAGTCATCCTACCTGTCTTAAAGCAGCCTGAGCACTGATAACGTAAAGCTTGGAGGAATAGCCAAGTTTTTAAAGTTCATTTAAAGGAGAGTACAGTGAGGGCTTTGTGGATTTCCAGGGGTATGCTATTCCAGAGGACAGGTACAGCAACAGAGAAGACTCATTTCCTGGATCCAACTAGATTATACAGCTTAATTGAAGGTACCCTAAGCAAGCTGATTCTGTTGGCTCATACAGGACAGGCAGACATTACTGAAGGGTAGACAATTATTCAAATACTGTATTTTTCAGAGTATAAGACGCACTGGAGTATAGCCTGCAGCAGGGTTTTGAAAGGGGGGGGGCTTTGTACTCTGCAAACCTCTCAAAAATGCCCCGTTTTTTGTGAAAATGGGCCCGTTTCCCCCCCCCCAAAAGGCATGAATAGCCTTTAGGGAGCTTGCAGTGTGCTCGGGGGGGGGGGGGGAAGGGGAGTAGCAAAAAATGGCCCGTTTTCTGCAAAAACAGGGCCATTTTTCATTTAAAAGGCATGGATAGCCTTTAGGAAGCTTGTAGAGTGCTCCTGGAGTCTGGGGGGAATAAAATTGAGCAAAAAACAGACTGTCTTTTGCTCATTTTCGTCCTTCCCAGCCCCTAGGAGCTCTCTAAAAGTTTCCTAGAGGCGATGCACAGCCATTTTGGTGAAGGGGGCGGGGTTTCAGGAGGCAAAAAATACTATATTCACTGTATAAGACGCACCCAAATTTTCAGCCTCTTTTTTGAGGGAAAAGGGTTACTGCAAAAATACAGTAATTAGGCTTTATGTATTACAGGATTTTAAAAATAATCACAATCTTGAATTATACCCAGAAGTTAATAATAATTAGTGCAAGTCACAGAACAGGGGTGTTATATAGGCATAACTGTCCCAGAATGCTGCAGCACAAACTGTGATGATTGTACACCACTGTGCTGCAGCATTCTGGCCGAGGTTCATCTCTTAGTGATTTTCAAAGGTAGCCTCATGTAGAGCTTATTACAGTAGCTCACCTGCAAAGTAAGAGAGCCATTGTGGTTGTAAGAAGGATTTCTTGGTTCAGGAATGGACACAACTGATGTACAAACTGAACTTGTAGAAAAGTCTTCTTAGCCAGATCTCTTCTTAGTCATTGAGAGGAGTTGTGAGCTCAGAATAATCCCTAGATTGCATACGGGACATTGTAACTCTACTTAGGACCAAAAGTGGAAGATCCCTAGATCCAGGTAGTCTAAGACAGTGTTTTTCAACCTTTTTTGTGCAAAGGCACACTTTTTTCATGAAAAAAATCACGAGGCACACCACCATTAGAAAATGTTAAAAAAATTTAACTCTGTGCCTATATTAACTATAGGCAGGTGTTTTTCCCACGGCACACCTTACACTATGTCACGGCACACTAGTGTGCTGCGGCACAGTGGTTGAAAAACACTGGTCTAAGACTCCACAGCCACTCGGACTTGCTAGGATTAAACTTCGGTTCTTCCTCATCCAAACTCCCAACATCCTCTAGGCACAACATCATTGATTAATTGGCCAGAGATAAATATATTCAACTGAGTATTATCACCATACTGATGATATCTCACCTCATTTTGATTGGCAACCTCCCCTAGGAGCTTCATGTAGACAAGCAGCATGTGGACTAAAAGTATAGAGCCTTGAGATATTTCACAAAGTTTTTGGAATTGACCCTCTGTCCCTCTAACAACACCTAGAACCAGCCAAGGAAGACAGAAGAACCACTATAATACAATACACTCCCACTCCGTACATATTTTTTTTTAAAAAATATTTTTGGGACATGGGTTCTCTAGGGCTAAAAGTGATTAGCTCAAAGTTGCCCAACTGGCTTTATGCTTTTTAATATTAGATAAGAAATAATTATGCACGGAGGTAATCTGTGTTTAGTTTTACTTTTGAAAGAGCTGCTCTAAGAGTTTACAGGAGATGATCATGTTGCCATAAATCTTTTTTGCTTAGTAGAAAGGTTTTATGTAGGCCAGTGTTTTTTAAATGTTCTTCAGCTCAAATTATTTGAAGATGGATCAGCTGATACTACCTGCTGTACACAGGATGTAATAAGCCATACCCTTCCACACATAGAATTAATCTTCCTAAGCACCCAACAGTTCTTCTTAACTAGAAAGGGGTTTCATTCCTATCTAGATATATATTGTGAGGTGGAAAATCTAATAAACAGTATTACTGTGCCCAGAAAGCATGTTTTTGAGAAATTGCTTGTACTCATTAGTGTACTGGGCCTTTCCATTGATTAATTATCGTGAGCTGTTTAGCTAACATGAAAGCTCAATTTAGGATGATTAATTAGCATGATTACAAACTATTTCCCTAAGACAGATCTGTACAGATCTGTACTTAGAATTGTCAAAAGTTTAATTATGAACTGTATTATATACTTAGGAATGTAAGACAGTGGTGGTCATTTAAAATATTACACTTCAGATACTTTAGCAAGTCCCTAGATTTAGAACTACTCTGCAAAACAAAATTATTTGCTTACAAAACTTTTTAGTTTTAATTGGTATATGTACATGCAGTGGTGGGATTCAGCCAGATCGTACCACTTCAGGAGAACTGGTTGTTAACTTTCTGAGCAGTTTGGTGAACTGGTTGTTGGAAGAAATTATTAGTGCAGAGAACCAAGTGTTAAATTATTTGAATTTCACCACTGTGTACATGTCTCTAAGGTGTCTGTTCTTTGATTAAATATCAAATTTGATTGACAACATTAGACAAAGTGCTACTTAAAATTCAAAAAATCTAGGTTCAGAATATTTTGGTAGCTCTTATCATCTCATATCTCACATTAATTGATTGGCCTCAGTTGAAGAAACAACAGAATTGGGATAAATATTTTAACCATTTTAATTTTAAAATTGAATTAAATTTAAGTTTTATTTGAAAACATGCCCAATTTATTCTGGAAAGAGGATATGTTAAAATTGATACTAGAGCTTGCATTTCTGTTTGTACTTCTGGTTTTATTATTTCTGTCTCTGTTTTATTTTCCCCATTTGTTTCATTTCTAGATGGTGATGCCAGGAGATGCAGTGGAGATGACTGAGTTTCAAGATAAAGCAATCAGCAATTCCCATTATGTGCTAGAACTCATGTTGCCAAATGTTTATTTAACATTACCAAACAAGAGTTTTTATGAGAAACTTTACAATAGGTAAGAATAAAATTAAAGGTCTTTGGAATACATCAGAGACATTTTGAAATAACCTGGGAAGGTAACTTTCTTCCCCTGCAGCCCATTATGACATCTTCCACATGATCCTCAGAAGTTTTCAGCACGCTGAGAGAGATTTTCAGCAATTAGATGGGAGTCCAGGATACTTAGTTTTTCAAAGAAAAAGCTTAAGGTGTTTTGCAGCACCAGCCAATAAATTGATTCCTGATTTCTGGCAAATATTTGAACCCTATTCATATGTTTGTGCATATCTCTGCTATTTCTAAAGAAGTACCATATTTATAAGACACACCTTTTTCCCTCAAAAAAGAGGCTGAAAATCTGGGTGCGTTTTATAGACTGAATACAGCATTTTTTTGCCTCCCAAAACCACACCCCCTTCACCAAAATGCAGAACCTGTAGGAGGCTTTCAGAGAGCTCCTGGGGGCTGGGGAGGGCAGAAATGAGTGAAAAATGGGCTGTTTTTGTTCAATTTTGCCTCCCCCCCAGCCCCCAGGAGCACTCTATAAGCCTCCTAAAGGCTATCCATGTAAATTATTTATTTTTTTGACAAAAAAACGAGCCTGTTTTTGCAAAAAAATGGCCTTTTCTGCTTCCCCCCCCCCCCGGGAGCACTCTACAAGGCTATTCTTAAAGGCTATTCATGCCTCTCTTTTTTTGAAAAAAATGGACCCATTTTCTCAAAAAACGGGCCGTTTTTGGGAGGTCTGCAGAGTGCAAAAAACTTTTTTTTTTAAATTTGCCTCTTCAAAATCTTGGTGCGTCTTATACTCTGGTGGGTCTTACACTCCGAAAAATACGGTATATTACTGGTAGTCCTTGACTTATAACAGTTCATTTATTGACCATTTAAAGTTCTAACAGCACTGAAAAAAGTGACATAACCATTTTTCACATTTACAATAATTGCAGCAGTCCCAGGGTCATGTGATCAAAATTCAGATGCTTGCAGCTGGTTCATATTTCTGACCATTGCAGTGTCCTGAGATCATGTGATCACCTTTTGCGACCTTCTTACAAGCAAAGTCAATGGGAAAGCTAGGTTCATTTAACAACCGTGTTACTAACTTAACAACTGAAATAATTCATTTAACAAATGTGGTAAGAAAGATCGTAAAATGGAGCAAAACTCACTTAACAAGTGTCTCACTTACCAGCATAAATTTGGGGCTCAATTATGATCATAGGTTGAGGATTAACAGTACACATTCACATGTTGAGTTGCAAGACAATCACCCTTTTTGTCTTATCTTAATGTTTCTTCCAAATACATTTGACAAACATAGCAAGTAAGAGAAGGAAATTATCAACCTATATTTATCTGATGTACAGGTGTTTCTGTTTCTCTATACTAACTCCTCTGTTAGTATATATTACTGATTTTCATATCGATAATCATTTTAAAAATATTTTTCTGTAACATAGATTTGTTGTGATTCATTTTATTCCCATATTTACTTCAATAATATCAAAGTTTTTCTTTCTTTCTAGGATTAGCAATGATCTTCTATTATGGGAACCCACAGCTCCCTCTCCAGTAGAAACATTTGAGAATATTTCATACGGTGTTGGGATTTCAGTCGCTAGCCAGCTGATCAACACGTTTAGTAAAGACAGTTTTAGCCAGTTCAGGTCTACTATTCATTATGGTAATGTATTGCATAAAATATATATCCAGTGTTATTATGTTAAACAAAAATAAGTGTACGTATTTACTGTAATCTATTTAAAAGACTTTAAGAATTAACACTGAGAAAATCTATACATAAATATTCTTGACCTAGGTATATTGTCCACCTAAATATATAGTTAACCAGTTATTTTGATTAGTTTCACTAATTAAATATTTAATTGATTTTATAGATGATGAGAGTGGATCTGAGGAGGAAACATTACAATATTTCTCCACTCTTGATTCCAATTATTGTTCCCGGAGAAGGAAAAAAAACGAATTGCAAAACAGAAGCACACAGAATTTTCTTTCACTTCTTTTAAATATAAACCATGGATTATTGTCAATATTCACAGATATTAAGGTGAGATACCTAAGTAGGAATGACTAGTGGGATTTTATGTGTAAAACATTATTTTGGTATGCTGACATTTTTCCTTTTAAAAAACAAAACAAAAAGAAAACTAGCTGTTAGTACTGCTGTTAAGAGAGCACCTGGGAAGGCCAGGGCAATTGACTAACCTGTTTCCCTGAAAATAAGACCTGCCTGGATAATAAGCCCAATCAGGCTTTTGAACGCATGCACTAAAATAAGCCGTCCCCCCAAAATAAGCCCTCCTTGAATATATGGCAACACAGCAGCAGCCATGAGGTGACCACGATCACCGCCTCCTGCATCTCAAAAATAATCAGACCTCCCTGAAAATAAGGCCAAGTGCTTATTTCGTGGGTCAAAGGAAAATAAGACCCTGTCTTATTTTCGGGGAAATGCAGTCGATTGAGAAGAAAGGTCTTCAGAAGGTAGCAGAGACCGTTTCAATAATATTGTTAAGAAAGCTGCATATTATAGACAGAGCACCAGGTGTCAGTATCAGATCAAGGATGTCTTTATCTTTGTGTATTAAGCAGCATAATCTTATGAATAGTCATTCTAAAACAAAGATTCAACCAGCAAATGATGTTAATATACCCTTTTCACTATTTCTGTAGCAGGATGATGGAAGAGTATTTGAAGACAAACATGGAGAATTTTGGTTTGAATTTTGTAACGGTTCTTTATTTTGTGTAACGAAGTATGAAGGTTTTGAAGACAAACATTATATATGTCTCCATTCTAATAGTCTCAACTTATATCATCAAGGTATGAAATTGAAATATTAGTTTATATAATGAATTTGTGTTCAGCTTTTTGATAAGATAGGTTAGTGAAAATCATAAAAAGTATAATAATTTTAGGGGGGAAATGCAAATGTAACATTTTTTGATAGTATTAAAAGATTCAGTTTGTACTGTATTGCTAAAAATAGAATTTATATTTAATTACACTTCATTCAGAAAATTGGAGCTAGGAGTTTTTAAGAATATAGCATGACTTTAATTATGGGACAAAAATTAAAAGGTCAATAGTTGATGTATTTATTCATCCATCCCCATTTGTATGCTGCCTGATCTCACAACTCATCTTTTGATATAAATAGTTTAAATTTAATTAGAATTTTAGTGGTTTATAAAGCTATGTATACAGAGAAGGATGGAAATAATTTGGAATAATTATATCAAAAATAGATAGTATAATACTTTGGATTTGATTATAAAAGGTGCTTTGGAATAGTAATAGCAGACTTACAGACTGCTCCATAGTGCTTTATAGCACTCTCTGAGTAGTTTAAAAATGTCTGCATATTGTCCCCAACAATCTGGATCCTCATTTGACCAGTCTTGGAAGAATGGAAGACTGAGTCAACCTTGAGCTGGTCAGGATCAAACTCCTGGCTGTGGGCAGAGGTTACCTTCAATACTGCATTTTAACCGGTGTGCATATCATATATAGAAATGCCAGAGAGATCCTGCATACATACTCCTGCTTGTTCCATACAACTTTTTTCAAACACTTCCGAAGCATTACCCAATCTAAATAAACACTAAGATTAAATAGTACTATACTTTTAAAGTATATGCAGCTTGCTATGTGAAAGTAATAGGAATGAATTCCTCAGTTGTAGTTCCATTTGAATCATTGAATCATTTTATCCGTTTTCCTGATAGAAGTGTATTCTGGCATGCATGTCCATGCACAAAAGTAAAAAAATAAATATATTGTAGATTTTTTAAAAAAATTATATATAATAGAAAATGGATTATGCAATACTTTAAAGCAAAGACAAAAAGGTTGTTTGGCATGCAGTTGAAGCCTCAATGTGCAAGTCCATAAACTAAATGTGTCTTCCTGGAATTGCATAGCAACTTCATGATTCCAAGAAGCATATATTGTTACTAAGAAAAGGTGTGCTTTTAAAAAATGCTGCAGACAAATGCCACGTTTGTGTTCCCAAGCACCTTTTGTTTTTGAATACAAAGCATTCACATAGTCATTATGAATATTACCAGACTTTGTCTATCTTCATTTATTCTGAAAGATAGAATGTGTGTTTTCATTCTTCAAGTAATACAAAGCATTCACATAGTCATTATGAATATTACCAGACTTTGTCTATCTTCATTTATTCTGAAAGATAGAATGTGTGTTTTCATTCTTCAAGTAATAAGCAAATCATCCTTTTTACAGGAGTGGTAGAAGAGACTGTGTCTCTGTCTGAAATAAAACTGCCAAGTGCAACACATCCACATTGGCTAGAACCTACTATTTATTTTTCGGAAGAAGAAGGTCCTAACACAGCTTTTTCGGATGGTGTAGGAGCAGAATGTTTAAGTATGTTGTCAGTTGCCGTTAAAATACAGTCAAATAAATCAGAAACAAATACAAAGGTTTGTATTTAGAATTAACTTATTTGGTTGTATATCAATACATTTATGTTTTGTCTTTTCTATGAGAGCTTAGGATAGCATATAGAAATATCACACACACCCCTCCGCCACCCCATTTTCTCCTCACAGTAAATCCATTGGGTAAGATTGAATTACAGGAAAGTGGCGGGTAAATAGAGTCAGGTACGAATTTGAACCCATAATTCTATACATTTGACCCTGCTTGATAGGGCTACCTGGACCTTTAGTCCAACAATTCTGGATGGCACCACTCCATCACTGCACTATAAAGTCTTTGAATTTCCAGTCAAAGAGTAACTTATCATACTGTTTACATAGTTCTTGTTATGTTAGTAACATTGTTAGTGTCAAAGGAAGGATAGGTTATGATGTTCATTTAATTCTAAACATTTCAAACCGTTACACTAACTAGATATACTTTTGTTTTCTAGGAGTTTTTAGTTGCAGTTGGGTTAAGAGGTGCCACTCTGCAGCATAGAGTACTTCCTTCTGGTTTAAGCTGGCATGAACAGGTATATCATTATGCTAATTGTTTTTTTGTTTTCAATTATTCATCACTCAGTCTAATGGCCTCATGGCCAAATGAACCACTGAGAAACATTATAGAGATTCTCAGATATTAACAGAAAAATCCTTAATTAGATAAAAATGCCTAATGACAACTTAAATATACTCCATAGAGTGTAGAGCATATATTGCTAAAGAAAAAGTTGGCTGAGAGAATGACATAACTTACTTGAAAGAAAGTCTACATCCTGAACAATAGCATCATTTTTATGGTCATCCTTGTCTTACAACCATTCGTTCAGCGACCATTCAAAATTACAAAGATGCTGAACAAGAGGACTTATCACCTGAAGTGATGGCCATTGCAGCACCCCTATAGTCACGATTGTGACCCTTGCTACACTTTTGCACTTACAGCTAGTTGCCAAGTGCCCCACGTTTATGAGATCACCATTTGCAATCTTCCCTGCCAACTTCCCCAGGAAGTCAAATGCCTCTGTCCCCTGCTAAGAGGAGTCCCTCTAGTTTCAGAGGGCTGACGAAAAAGGTCCATGCTGAAATCCAAGCAGGATTTTTAGCCGCTGAGGAGTTTTAGTTTTGGATCAGAGAAACTTATATCTCCACTCAGTGCTAAAAATCCTGCTTGGATTTTGACAGGGAAGATTTTCAACTCTGGATCAGAGAGACTTGCGATGTTTCCATAGCTTCATTCTCCAAACTGCACAAGGCTTGCAGAATGATGCATAGTGGCTTGCGGAAAGAAGGTCTGGCACGAGCACGAGCTGTCTCAGATATGTTGCCCAGGCCTTTCGGCAGGAGGAGAAAAATAGATGAAGGTGAGTGGTGTAAGGCAGCTCAGAGGAGCGGGGATTAGGCAGCCAGGGCAATCACACTTCCCCTCAGGCTTGTACACCTTGAAGAAAAGCTCACAACATTTGTCAGTGGCAGCAGCAGTGCTTAGAGGTGAAGATGAGGCCTGGGGGAATGACAACTGGCTGAGACTACTAATGGCCCTGGCTCTCTGTTTTGAGCTTAGCCCCAGCATTACAGCCAAATGCTGCAGGGCACCTAGCCTAAGTCACAAAGGAAATAGGTGGGTGTGGGGTATCGGGCAGCATTTCTCAGTGGCAGCAATGGAGCTAGGGCTAAAGTCACGGCCTGGGAGCAGAGGCAAATGGCAGAGACGGTTGAAGGCCTACAAGCCTCTGCATCAACATTGCTGCCACCAAGTGCAGCACTTCATTCCGGAACTTGTGTACTGCCTCCACTGGGACTCCCAGGGCTGCCCCCACTCATCTGAGATATTTCATTGCTCCTTAGGACTGTATCTGCTTAACGTCCTACGAGTTCACTTAACAACCACAACTAGGATTGCGGTAGTTGAGCAAACTGGTCAAGTGACATCTTGCTTAACCAACACTTTACTGAGCAATCGAGATTCCAGTCCCAGTCATGAGCATATGTTGAGAACTACTTGTAATATGGCATAAAATAAAAATTTATAAAAATATATCTTAAAAGCATTACAACAATTTTAATATTGCAGCTATTTTTCACCATCCCCATTTTCTCACTTCTTTATTAGTATTAAAATGTATTTTAAAAACTGCTCCACAACCTCAGTAAGTTCTTATAAGCTCAAATGAAAGATTCTATCCAATAACAGTTTAGCAGAGATCCGAATGCTCCTCAAAGCATATTCTAGTTTCCCCCCATCCCTGAGGCCTGGGTGTCTCCTAGAAACCTACATTCGAAGGTTTTGCTGTAGCATAGTAAGGAACAAAATTTGAATGACCAAAGCTGCAGCAGGATAGTAAAACTATGCAAGCTACTACTGGGTCTAATATTTCACTTTTTAATATATGTTGTGAAGTGGCCTTAAATTATGGATAATTGGAAACCAATGGGTCTACTTTTATTCTTTTGTAATTGTAGATTTTGTATTTTTTGAATATTTCTGATGAACCTGTATTGGGATATAATCCTCCAGCCTCCGTTACAACATTTCACGTCCATCTCTGGAGTTGTGCTCTGAATTACAAGTAAGTTAAATGAGAAGATTGTTGTCAATCTTAAATCTCATAAATACTTTGGTCCAAACTTTTGAAAATAACAATATTGGTGGGATTTTTTTCCCCCCCGCAGGCCTTTATTTTTACCAACTAGATGTCTTCTTATTGTTGAAACATTTAGCATTTCAAGTAGCATGGCACTGGATAAATCATCTTCTACTCTCAGGTAACACTTAAAAGGCCAACAGCCTCGTTTTTACCTTTATATTTTATTTTAGGTGTTATGAAAACATAAAAAAAACATATATGAGGATGAAGATGAACTTTTCATGAAATTCAATGTTTGAATTTTTCATAAGTAACAAAAATCCATTGTAAATCTATAATTGTTAATGTTGAATCACCCACTTCTGTTTTTAAAACATGAATTTGGAATTGACATTGAGACGAAATAGGACAAAACGTGGTATGCATATATTCTTGTTTTGAAATATTTGTAAGATTTTCAACAATTTAAACTTAAAAAAAATTCCCTACATGTTGTCCTTCCCTTGATTTCTGGCCTATAGGATTATAGTTCGAAGACATAAATATGTAGTTTTAAACTTAAATTGGTATTTGAACAATCCCATATTTTTTTCCTCTACCGTAACTCATATTTAAAAGTTAATTCTTGTTGTAGTTTTTCACTTTTTCCTGACAACCAAAGACTTTATTTGCTTGTATGTAGTTTTTTGTGATCTTCCCAGTTGTGATTCAATGAACATTGCATGTCAGTTTTGTTTTCACTTTGAAAATCTATTCCTAATTGTAGTTAAACTGCCTTACCAGAACAAATTCAATAACAGTGCGAAGTTAAAAAGATGATCACATTTGTATTCTTTAGTCAAGTTGTTAAATGCATCATTTAATTGTATACCAAATACACAATTTAGGGTTTTTTGGCTGTAGGATAATCTTGGATGAGGCTGCTTTGCATTTATCTGACAAAATTAATGCTACTGTGAATCTCCAAAAAGGTAAGTGTATTTTGCATTGAAAAGAACCCAGAGAATCAAACATACCCAGTTAGGATATTGAAAAGTGGTACAATATTAAGCACATAGGGTTGGTTAAGAAAATGTCAATTGGTTTTCTGGAGTATATTAAGACACTATAGCCATCTAATCTTAAAAGACATCTGTGGTGGCAACTAATCTTTCTAGCTGAAGCCAGAAATGCAAATAGTGATACACTTTGGAGCTAAAATTCATGAAAGTCTAAAAATGAGCAGGACCAACTCAGATTTAAGGTACTCTCTTACTCAGTGCTTCATTTGCTTATTTTTGTCTACAAAAACAGGCCATTGAAACAGATCTCAAAGATCTATTCCATCTTCATCCTTGCACATAGACATTCAATTATTTTCCTTACTTCCTTATTTTTTTTTCCTGTTCTCACTTTCCTATCCAATTTGCCCATTTTCCTTCTCGCTATTTGCAGACTTAGTTCCATGTATGCATCCATTTACTTTATCTTCTACTCTTTATTCTTCTGTGCTGAGTCAGAATGAAAATGTTTATTGTTTCCCAGCCAAGCAGGAAAGAATAATAGCAAGCATACAGAATATTGGATAGAAAAAAAAAACAAGCAATGTGGGAGATGAGAGTAGCTTGAACCCTGATTGTTGGACACAGTAATGGCCATATATGTATATGCTGATTAAATTCATTCCCAATTAGATGTGAAATAACACCCCTTAAAGATGAACACGATATCTGTTGATCTGAGTCAACATATGGCTTATGTTCTCTAGATTAAAATGGATTTAAATATTAATTGTAATACTATTTTGTATCAAGCGGGAAGTCCATAATAAGCAGATGGCTTGGACAAATAAAGCCAAAAGGTCGTTAAATAGGAGGAAATTACATTACGGTATAACCTCAATTTAACTGACCCCCATTTAACAGTCATTGGCTGCAACTGAGCAAACAACTATTTAGGATTCACCCTGGAAATAAAGAAATCTCTTGTTACTGAAGTATATTTGGCAGTTTACTTCATGCAAATGATGTAAATATTTGGCAGTTTACTTCATGCAAATGATGTAAATTGCTACTGTACAAATCACATTAAACTATGTATTGTATAATAGAGGAAATGACAAAAGTTGAAAATGGTTAGGGGGTTTACTATACATTAATATGGAAACTGAATTTAAAATGTGTAAAGACTTAAGTAGTTTTCTTTAAAAAACAACAACAAAGAAGCAGTATTAAAGCATATATTTTTATTCTTTTTTTCCAGATTACGTTCAAGTTATGGATATGGGACTGTTGGAATTGACCATAAAGACAGTGAAATCTGAATCTGGTGAAGAGAGGGTGAGTTAAAACATTAAAAACTAAATTATTTATTTACAATTTTGACAAAATAAGGCTAATTTTGAATATATATAAAATACACACACAGATACACACATACAAAAAAACAAATAAATAATAAATAAAATATCTTTAGGGGACTTGTTTACAAAGAAAATGAAAATCAGTTAGGAGGACTAGAATTGTACTGGATTCCCGAACATACTCTTTTTTTAGTTTTTCTTATCTGTGTTTTTTATTTTTTATTAAAAGGTGGTAAATATATCTTAATACTTCTTCCTCCTCCTGTTTTTAGCCCACAGTAGTAACTTTGTGAGGTGAATTGGACAGAGAGAGAGACTTACCTAAGCTGGCTTTCATGCCGAATGTGGAATTATAGCTCACTATCTCCTAATTTCTAGCCTGATGCCTTAACCACTACACTGGGGGCGGGGGGGGGTGTGTGAGGTGTCTTCTAACTGTACATGTTTTGTTTGTTGGTAAATATGAGTGTGTTAGTTTTCATAGGGATCAAAAATGTTTTACTTGTTTTACTTTCTATTGCCTAGAGCAATCCATATTTTGAACTACATTGTTCTAGTGATGTTATCCACATTCGAACATGCTCAGATTCATGTGCTGCGTTGATGAATCTTATACAATATATTGCAAGTTATGGTGATTTGAATCCTCCTGCTAAAATGGAGTGTACTTCTGGAGTGACCAAACAGAACGTGAAGGTATGAATATATATTTCTCTTAACTGTAAATAAGTGAGAACAGTCAGACTTTAAAATCAGCAAGGAAGGTTGCGGCATCTTAAAGTATATCACATTTATTGTGAAATAATCTTTCATCATTGACAGATTGCGTTTTTCTGAGATACTGAATGATAGTTCATGAAAACTTAGATTACTACAAATGTGTTAGTCTGTTGTAATAAAAAAGTAAAGGATTTGCATTATATGATAGACTAACCTCTTTGAAAATAATCAATGGTTCATTTCATTTACTTAAAAAAATAATGATACTCGTGTTCATATTTATATATATTAATGTTTTAAATAAGACAGCTAAATCAAGCAAAGATGGAGGTATTTGGACACTAGATCACCAAGATCATTTAAACAACTTTAAACTTCTAGGTCCCCTTATAATATATGGAGCAGTAGCCCTAAGATATCTTTGGATGTTCAGGAGTAACATCTGAAGATGTTTGTTGGGTGTCCATTTCAAATTTGGTTCTGTATAATTTTCTTATTTAGACAGATCCTTCTACTTGGCCACCTTCCCAAGGCCCAGTTCTTGCTGAAGCTGATCAACAAATTTTACGTGATTTAATGAGTGATGCTATGGAAGAGATCGAAACCCAGCAGCTGCTTTCCCCCTCTAACCTACAAGCTAATGGTAAAATCTATTTGGACTTTATTTTTAATTAAAAGATATTTAAGTTTCATTTTTTTTTAACACATTGTATTATACTTATAATTTGCTGGCTTTTAACATATCCAAGATAAACATGATAAAATATTCTTTCTTGTTCACATTTCCAATGTAAATTTGAGGTACTTTTAAACATTCTAGACTTTCTAATTTCTTGGGTAACATATACCAAAGATACATCATTTTATAAAAATTCTCCTTAAGATCATAACACAATGTAAATTTCAGCCACATATTTTCCCATTATTCCATCTGTACATTATAGCCAAAGTTTTTAACTTACTTTATCCTTCTTTTATCCCACACCATTCTTAAATTAATGTCTTTATCTAAGTTATATTAAAAAAAAGATTTTACTTTTGTTTTAAAGTCCTCCATTATTGCTTTTTTCTGTAACAATGTCTGGCATGTTTCAATAAAAAAACAGTAAAGATTGGATACAGTTTAAGAGTTTGGGTAACATGCTAAAGTATGATTAATTTCTATTCTTCCCATATCCAAATTAGAAGAGTAAAGATGTAGTCAGTCTATCCTGGTAATCTCTTGATTACATGGAAAAGTTGAAACTTTTTCAATTTTCTCTGTTCTCTTCTAGGAAGCATGGATGAAAAGAGTCAAACCCCAGCACCAGCATGTTCAGATCTTTTCCTGTTTCCTGATGAAAGTGGGAATCTCTCCCAAGAGCCAAGTCCCACCTATGCATCATTTACTCCCAACATGATTAAGGAAGTTATAGGAGATGCACCTTCTGAAAATGATGACTTCTGTATTCTTTTTGCACCAAAAGCAGTTATTTCTGTAAGAAACGCCCAATGTTATTGAAAAATCAGAAATTTAAAAATGGAAAGTAGATTTTGGGATACATAGATTAAATTATGACTATTAAAATACTGTAAAATTACCATCTGGAAAGTCATTAATGTTAATAACAATTTGTACATTTGTAATATTCTTATATTAGAATCCTTGATGGAGTGATTGAAGTTCATTTAGTAATATTTATTCATCCGTCCATCCATTTAGAGCAGCGGTGTCAAATTCAATTTCATTGAGGGCCACATCAGGGTTGTGTTTGACCTCGGGGGCGGGTAGGATGGGCGTGGCCAGGGTGGGCACGGCCAGCTCGGCATCATTCGTGTCGGGCGCCTGTGGTGGCCTGAGCATTCTGCCAGTGAAAACAGACTCCTGAGCTCCATTTTTGGCTGTGACAGCCTCCTGCAAGCCTCTGCCAGCAAAAAGAGAGAGCTCTGTTTTTGCTGGCAGAGGCACTGTAGACCAGTCCTTCACTGTCTCCAGGTCAGCCCAATGGGCCAGATCTAAGCACCCAAGTGCCTTGAGTTTGACACCGCTGATTTAGAAGGACCTGGCCTAAATTGAAAATATTCAGATTTTTAGCCAAGGTTTTTTGCTTGCATTAATAATGACTTCAGTTGCTTTTCGTATATATTAAGTGAGTTTTAAGCATTTTGTTTTGTCATTATTTTTGGTCCATTAGCTGTTTTAGAAAGTAATTGTCAATTGTGAATTTAAGTTGTCTTGGATTAAGGAAATCAGATAAATTAGTTCATTTGTTTTTATTTTTTAAAATTTTATGACTGGATAAAAATAAAACCTAAATTAATCATAGAAAATACTAATTCCAAATTTTACCTCCCTTTTTACAGAATATTTTGTGTGCTTGATATCATATTTCTTTTACTTTTAATCAGTTTGAATAAAATAATTCACTGTTTCATTGTACATTAACATTCTGAATAATTTGTATTGTTACTGTCCTTTTGAAAATATGTATCATATTTCTATAAATTTATAACTTCTTTATTTTTCTCAGTTCCGATTACCCTTGACATTATTTCATTTGAGTAATATATAATTATATTTCTAATGAAAAAGACATTTCAAATTATAGAACTACTTCTGGAAATATGAAAATGGGGAAAAAATGGGGAAAGAAAAAATACGCATTCAGCTAATGGTCTTTAATCTTTTAGGATAAGGAAGAAGAGCCAGTAGTGAAAACAATGGTTGAAGATGCTATAATAATAAAAGAAAACCATTTTAGTTTACCAGTGAAAAAGGCAGATACAAGCAAGACGCCACTTCATTTTCCTGTTCCCCTCATGCGCTATGTTGTAAAAGAAATTTCACTCATTTGGCATCTTTATGGAGGAAAAGATTTTGGGAACATAACACCTACATCTCCAGCTAAAAGTTATATGTAAGTATTTCAATACCAGCTCCTTGTGCTTTTACACAGGAGCTGAGAATTAGCCTTCTAAAAATTAGAAATTAACTTAAAGAATTCTAGTTATTCAGAAAAATATGCACCCTCTCCATCATTTTCTTTTGTAACTGCAGCAGCAGCAATGAAGGAGAAGATACGGTCTACCAGCCATGACTGTGAGCTCCCTGAATGCATAATTAGCATTATATTAAGCAGAAATGATTGCTTCTAAAATTGTAATTTGTTAAACAAAACATTGCTTAGCTTGATGTGTGATTCTAGCCAAAATCTTACTTCATTCATTATTGAAAATGTTTTAGTTATGTTTTAGTTATATGTTCCTTGATGACAAGGTAGTACATTCAGTTTCTTTTCTTGTTCACAAAACTCAAATTGTGCACTGAAAGAAATTGAGGTTTGAATGAGTTGTTGTGAGGTGAATTTCTAATTTAAAGAGAAAAATTATTTTTCTCTTCTTATCCAGTAGTCCTCAGAGTTCTCCTTCTCACACCCCAACAAGACATGGACGTAGTGCTGCCTGTGGAGGAAAAGGAAGGAACCCTGACTTTTTGATAGAAATACAGTTAAGCAAGGTAAGAGGGGAAATGACATTATTTGTTTTATTTCTCTAAAACTTTAACCCATCAAATTTGCTCTTTTTCCTGTCTCGTTTTTTCAAAAGGTGAAATTCCAACATGAGGTATATCCCTCAGGTGAACCAGAATGTGAACTCAGCATATTGGAACAACCTGTATCTCGTCAAATATTTATGGTTCAAGATCTTGAAATCAGAGATCGCTTGGCTACATCTCAAATGAATAAATTTCTTTATCTTTACTGTAGTAAGGAGATGCCTAGAAAGGCACATTCTAACATGGTAAGAGTTGCTGAATATTTTAATTCTGAAAATTACAAAGGAAGATAATAGAAAAGCTATTTGACTTTCTTTAGATCTGTTTTGGGCATTTAAAGCATACATATCAACTTTTTAGGGCCGTGATGGCGAACCTATGGCACACATGCCACAAGGTGCTGTCCTGTCAGCTTGTCAATGCGCATGCGTGTGCTGGCCAGTTGACTTTAGCCTTTTTTTGAGGCATTTTTTCGTGAAAAACTGGCCCTATGGGCAAACCATAAGTTCGGGAACGGACTTCCTGTTTGCTTGTTAGGACCATTTTTCGCTCCGGAGGGTGAAAAATGGCCCCACAGCCAAACCGGAAGTCATTTCCAGTTTTGCCATAGTGCCATTTTTCACCCTCCGGAGCCTTCAAAAACTGGCTCTACAGACAAACCGGAAGTCATAATTCCTGAAATTCTGGGTTCCCCATAGGGCCTTTTTCACCCTACAGAGCCTTCAGGAGACCTTCTTGAAGGCTCCGGAACCCAAAAACCTATGAGCAAACTGGAAGTCACAGTTCCCAAACTTCTGGGTTCCCCATCAGACCATTTTTCGCCCTCCGGAGCCTTCAGGGAAGCTCCTGAGGTCTCCGGAGGGCATCGGGGGTGTGTGGGGCGGTGGAGGCTGTTTTCGCCCTCCCCAGGCTCCTAGAAAGCCTCTGGAGCCTGGGGAGGGTGAAAAAACTGCTCCAAAAGCAGTCACACATGCATGCGCGCGGGCTGTGTGTGCCGTGTGCATAACATTATGGGTGTGACATGCTCATGCACGACCCCCCCTGCGCTCCCCCCGTTTTTGGCTGGGAGCCAAAAAAAGGTTCACCATCACTTTTTAGGGTCTTGACTAATCCATTTAGAGAATGTATCAAACATGGAATAAGGGTCCAACCTCAGATGGACACTTATTTATTTTATTTAGAAGAAAAGCTCTTAATTGACTTTTCAATCTCTTTCCACTATCTGTGTCATCCGTAGAACATGGAAACTGATTTTGGAATACTTCTTTTGGAAAATAGACATTTATCCAGAATGACTGGTATACTAAGTTATCCAAATGATTGATAACTCAAATCTAGACTGATAATGTTTTAGCCAGTATTTGTATCCTGATCTTAGCAGCTTCTTGCAGAATTACTATAACATGCTGACAAAAATCAATATCCACAGCCCTGATACCACACACATTTGATAGTGAAGAACTTCCTTTTTAACAAGAGATTGGCTAGATCTAAATAGTGCCTTTTGAAAAAGCACCTTTGGAATCTAATGGCTAATTCATTATAATGAAAATTTCACAAAACAGTAGCAAACTTTATTACATTCTTAGATAAGAATTTAAATATAACAACTGTTACACAAAACCATTAAATATCACAATCTTTATCTCCAAGAAGTCTAGAATTTGCCACATATAATGTTATTGATTTAAAAGCTATAATTTATATTTATAATTTAAAGCTACCACATACTGTGAATGTGAAACTGGCTTTGTTCATGTTTGCCTTGTAATGCAGAAAAAGAAATTGTGATTATCCAAAGAGATGACATATTTGTATGAATCCTCTGTTGATTATTTATTTAAGCAATTTATATGGGTGCCCATCTGACCAAAGTTACTTTGAGTAGCATACAACAATGTTACATCTTAATAAAGCAGCTATAATGCCCAGGGTCACAAACGATCCCAACTGGTAAAAGGACAACATTAACCAATATATGTTTCATTTAACAGTTGACAGTTAAGGCGTTGCATGTTCGTCCTGAGTCTGGCAGATCACCACAAGAATGTTGTTTACGAGTATCTTTAATGCCACTTCGTCTCAACATTGACCAGGTTAGTTAAGAAGACACCATACCATGTTGGAGAGATGGGTAGACCAATTGCCCCATTGTTTTCTCTTTGAAGAAAAATATTACTCATTTAGTTACCCTACCTTATTATTATTATATTCTTTTAATCTTTTTATGCATCAGTCAATGCAGCAAACATATCTAATGCTCCTGCCTCCCATTTTCACAACAACAACCCTCTGAGGTGAATTGTGCCGGGAGTGACTAGCTCAAGGTCACCCAGCTGGTTTTTCATGCTTAAAGCAAACCTAGAATTCACAGTCTTCTGATTTCTAGGCCAGCACATTACCCATTATTTCAGCTCTTTGTATTTGATACTCTTTCATTAATTTTGAAAGTATTATGAATGTCTCTTTACTTTATGAATATTTTTTTAAAAAATTATTCACTGTGGAGAAATTAAAACTTGTTTTGGAACCTAGCCAGTTTTGTTTTTCATTATTTTTATTATTATAGTTTTCTTTTAGGAAAAAGTATGAATAGTTATGTATTGAGTGTGTTTTGTGTGTCACATATACATAGATGTGTATTTATGTAGTTCAAATACATATGATTGTAAGATAAACTTCATTGTTAATAATACAGTACTTTGGGTTTTATATTCAAAAATTCTATGTGACAAATGATTAATTAGTCAAATATTAGTGTTTAGTATACTATTTAGTATTATACTAATTAGTAATAGTACTAATGCTGTTAATACTATGTATTACTATAGCTAGTAAATTCTATTATTAGTATTTTCCATCTCTACATATGATCCCATAATGAACAATGTAATAATTTCCTTTTCTTAGTATATACTGCTTTTTATTTTGTAGGATGCCTTGTTTTTCTTGAAGGATTTTTTCACTAGCCTATCGACAGAAGTAGAAGTCCTAATGACTCCAGATCCTGAGGGTAAATATTCTGATGTAAAATCATATTACACAGCAGACATTTAAAATAAATTATATGAATTATATAAATATATAATTAATTTGAAAACAGCTATGTAGAAATAATGACTATTTATTTTAATATTAATTATTTTATTTGCAGTTAAAAAGCCTCCTGGTCCTGAAGTAACATGTATTTTGCCCAGGCATCAGAGTGGTTTGAAAGAACCAAATCCAGTCATTTCTATTTCATTACATAAGCAATCAAGTCAGAATGGAAGTGTTGATTCTGTGGATATGCTCAATGGAGATGACCATAATCTCTCACATGAAGAAGCATCATTCAGTGATCAGCCAGTATTTTTCAGGTACATTTGGGACACCAGCTGAAAATCTTTATTTCTTTTCTGAAGTTTGGCTGTTTGATCTGCAGGATGCTGCAAAAAGGAGGGACAGTGGGTGGTTGCCTACCCCTACTCTAAAATGTCTTGTCTCTTCTCATGTTACTTTTTCAAAAGCTCCGTTTTGGCACCTTTGCCTGTAAAATCAACTGACTTCTTTCAGATGCTTGTAGTCATGAATTCACTATAGATAGTTTTGTTAAATATAATCACAGCTAAATATTTCCCTCCAATAGAGTGAACAATTTACCTCTCTGTGATAATATTTTCATTTTTATTCAAGTGTATTATAATAGGAAATTTAAATGAAAATAAAGATCAGAAAAGAAAGGGAAATAAGAGAAGGAGAAAGAAATGCAAGGGTATAGAAAGGAAAGAAAAAAGCAGTGACTTCTGGTTTTTTACACTGCAGTAAAGTTCAGAATAAAGTTACAACCAACTTCTTGTTTTACATTTCTAGTAGACACAAACCACTTCTGTAACAGTTAATCTAATCTAACCCTCAGATTACTTAAATAATAATAAAGGCTGGAGATAGGCCATTTGTTTAAAAAAGCCCCTTGATTCTCCTGAAGCAATGCTGATTCTAATCTCTAACAGAGATTAAGATTGTGTTACTGTAAATATTGTTTTTATTTTCCATTCTCAATTTTCCCCTAAGCCTTTTTCTGTGTATTATCTTACCACTTCTCTTTCTTTTCAGAGAGTTTCGATTTACTTCAGAAGTCCCGATACGTCTTGATTATCATGGTAAACATGTGTCTATGGATCAGGTTTGTTAAACCTTATGCTGTCAGATAAAATGTCTTCTTTCCATTAATTGTGGCTTTATATATGCTTTAGTAATACCAAATCGTTGAGATAATACAAAACTGAATTAGAATAATTCCACACCAAGTTAGAAATTTAATGACACATAAAAATTTAACCAACCATTTTTGAAAACTTGTTTTTTTAAAGAATGAATCTCCTGTTTTGTTTTTTTTAAAAATAAAGGATTCATGTTATTCACTGGAATATTTGCCCTGTTTGCCAAGCTGAAATAAACAGTGATACCCTTTCAAATTAATTGCTTTCCCCCCAGTTTATTCATTAGCTTTTTAGGCCATTGATCTTAGTAGTCAGTAGTCAGTTTGCAGAAAAAAAAAGCATCTATACTGGGATAATACTATATAGCAATAACAGACTTACATAGCATTTCACACTGCTTTACAGCCATCTCTTAAGTGGTTTACAGCGTCAGCATATTGCTCCCAACAATATGGGTCCTCATTTTACCGATCTCGGAAGGATGGAAGGCTGAGTCAACCTTGAGCTGGTGAGATTTGAACTGCCGAACTGCTGGCATACAACAGTCAGCAGAAGTAATCTGCAGTATTGCGTTCTAACCACCATGCAATCATGTCACAATATATCAATTGATATAGCGCTTTTCTATTTCATTTTAAAAATGCCCTCTTGGAAAAGCTCTATCTTGGTCAACTTCCAGAAAGCCAATAAAGTTGAAGCAAGCCTAACTTCCTTAGAAAGTGGTTGTTCCATAGGAGGATAATACATACAGAATTTGGGAGCAATATCTGAAAAGTAATCATACAGAAGGCAGTTACTATATTAAAAAAAAGTTGGGCTTATTGTGGATTTCCATTACAGATAGTCCTCAAGGTACAACAACTCATTCAGCAATGGTTCAGAGTTACAACAGGGCTGAATGAGGCGGACTAGTCTGCAAAATTACACCCATTACAACATCCCACAGTCATGTAATCGTCATTTGCAACCTTCCCTGCCTGCTTCCAACAAGCAAAGTCAATGGGAAAGACAGGAGGAAGTTGCAAATCACTGCTGCTACCATCTTTTCTTTTCTTTTTGCCTGACCATTCACAGGATCTGTGCACGTGTCCACTCCTCATAGCATCCACCCACATTTCTTACCCACAGTTAACTATTAAATGAAAATAGGCATAATATGTGAAAGGCAGACTGAAGGATTTCTTTTACTTTGAGTTTCTGATGAATTTATAGATGAACTAAATATATTTAATTTTCAGGGTACATTGGCTGGGATTCTGATTGGTCTCGCTCAGTTAAATTGCTCAGAATTAAAACTGAAGAGACTTTGTTATCGACATGGGTAAGCTTATTTAATTATCATATTTATTTGAATAGTTAATCTCTATCAACAGAACAAAGCAAAGCAGTTTAATTCTCATATCTTTTCTTTTTCTTAATTTTCAAATATCAGTAGTGTGTGTATGTGTGTGTGTATTAATAATACTATTTATTATAGGTTGCTGGGTGTGGATAAGCTGTTTTCTTATGCCTTATCTGAATGGCTTAATGACATCAGAAAGAACCAACTACCAGGTATTCTTGGAGGTGTTGGGCCAATTCATTCATTCATTCAACTAGGTAAGGCTGTTAAATGTTCTTGACATTTTTTCAAAATTATTATTATTTGTATTATTAAGAGCATTTCAGTTTAAATATATATGTAAAAGTGTTTTCCATTATCTGCCTAAAGAAGAAATACTTGGCCATATTGGTTATTTGTAATATTCTCTCTTTGATTCAGTTCAGGGCCTAAAAGATTTGGTGTGGTTACCAATAGAGCAATACCGAAAAGATGGCCGTATTGTGAGAGGCTTCCAGAGAGGAGCAGCTTCTTTTGGTACATGTACTGCAATGGCAGCATTAGAACTGACAAATAGAATGGTTCAGACCATACAGGTATATTTTCCATTTATGCTTGCTGACAATTGAAGACAATTTTTTGATTAATTTTGAAGCACATAAAATATTAGAACATACATGAACATACAAGAACATACAAGCCTTCAGCTGAATAAACTAAGGTGTCTGTCACATACTTAATTTGGATAAGGGAAGTTCTGGTCTGTAATGAAGAATAACTTTAAGGGTTTGGCACAATGTACAAATAGTTTAAATTTTTGTTAGATTGACTTTATTCAAAACTAGACAAATACCCATTGAGCTGATAGGCAACATGGAAGGTAGTAGAACAGGGGTATCAAACTCAATTTCATTGAGGGCCACATCAGGGTTGTGTTTGAACTCGGGGAAGGGGGGGTGGGTTGGGCTGGGCTGGACATGGCCAACTTGAGGTCACTCGTGTCCGTGCCTGTGGTGGCCTGAATGCTCTGCCAGAAAAAAAAATGGGCTCCTGAGCTCAGTTTTTGGCTGCAATGGCCTCCTGCAATTCTCTGCCAGTGAAAACAGAGCTCGGCCCCTCCTGAGCTCTGTTTTCGCTGGCAGAGGGTTGTTGGAGGCCGTCACACCCAAAAATGGAGCTGGGAAGCCTGTTTTCACTGGCAGGGCAGCCCTGCGGGCCAGATCTAAGCAACCCACCAGTCGGATCCAGACTCCAGGCCTTGAGTTTGACACCTCTAGTAGTAGAGAAAGGAGGGAACCTTAATGCATAACAGCTATCTAGATTATGCAGTAAATGAAATGTATTTTGAACAACTGTCTTGTAATTGGCATTCTTAATAAATAAGATTCAAATATAATTCATTTCTGTGAAAATAGTTGTTCCCTTTAAATTTCAAAACCCACTCTTGAACTTTTGCAAATAACTTTTGTAAGCATAGCTTATAAATGTTCTATTACATTATATTAAATGTTATATGATGTGTTACATTAAGATACATCTTAAGTCCTGAGGCATTGACAGGGGATGTTAGGGATGAAACATAGTTATAATTCATAAATCATTGGTTTATTCTCTGTTCTATTATTGATATATTGTTATTTTTATTGAAATTGAAATCTAGGCAGCTGCCGAAACAGCTTATGACATGGTTTCCCCTGGGCCTAGTTTAAATGACACAAAGAAGATCAAACGACTTTCTCGTCGTCTAGCTTACCAGCCTGTAGATCTTCGTGAGGGTGTGGCAAAAGCATACAGTGTTGTAAAAGAGGTAAAGTGTAAATTAATTAATTACTAAAAATATCTCCTCTTTTGTTGGTAGATTGTATCTTTCTTGTTGTTTGCTATAAAATGAGATATATTTATATTCGCCTCCTAAGCATTAAATTGAAAACAATATTAAAAATAATAAAAACATAAGAGGAATGGAAAATGAAAGCTAAAATGAACATTTTCATCTAACATTTAGATTAGCAATATACCTTCATAGCCAGAATGACTTTGGGAGCCACTCCCAAACTGCATACATGCGCTAACAGAATGCAGGCTGATAGAGAAGAACCTCTCAAATCCATTCTCAGAAATCCCATCAACAAAGTCTTATCTTGTCAGGATTCAGTCTCAATTTGCAGGTCTAAGATTATCATCCCAGTATACATATTTATTCTTTAGTGTTTTTGAGTATCAACATCTTTCAGGGTACTCCAGAGACACGAATTATCTAGCATAAACATCATTTTAATTCTGGGATTTTTGCTGTATTTAGATCATTTCCTATCATATTACAAAAATGTCAAAAATGCATAACATTTCTCATTATTTTGTATAATAATATCACTGTGCTAATCTGCTTTTTGTGATCAGAAAAGTTTGATAACATATTTTCCCTTACACCAAATTTGATTTGAATATTCTTGTAATTTTAATCAGCAAACGAGTATTAATAACTCCTTCACCCCCAAAAGGAGAAATGTCATCAATATATATGCCATAAAATGTGGGGTTTGAGATCTTTCCAGCCCAAGTTGATAGCAGCTAACAATATTCACATATCCATCAGTCATTAGTCACTAGCTTCAGTCATTAATTTCTGTTTATTTGTCTATTCTGTACCCCTTTCATTTTTGTATATTTAATGAAATAACATAATTAAAAAAAGAAAACAAAAATCCAAGGGAGATAGAAATTACAGTGTAAACATAACTGAATATTTTTGTGAAAGAGCTTTATAGAATTTTTAGTCTTCCCCAAAAATATATCATGGAGTGATTGGGATCTTTGAATGAATGAATAAATGAATATAAATAATGAATAAATAAATAAATAAATAAATAAATAAATAAATAAATAAAATAATTGATATGTGACATTCAAATGGTTTGTGTACTGTCATCTATTAAACAGCAGCTTTTTTTTTACTCTAATCTTTTGGAAAGATACTTCTGTATCCCAATGTAGGTTCTGACTATTGTAAGATAATCTTATTTTTCATAATCTGCATTGATTGATTAAAGTCACTTTCAGTATTTTGTATCTCTGCAAAAGATTTGCCGCAAAAATATATTCTATTTTTCATTTCTATTTGAATCATTCCCTCTGAAAACTGTTGAATCTAGAGTGCTCAAAAACAATCAATAGTGTTGCAGAATGTTGATTCATTGTATTATCTCCATATGGGAAGGCAGCGCCAGGTCTCAGGTGAAACTGAGAGGTTTTGTTGAATGAGATCCTCAGCCTAGAAAACTGCTGATCTAAATCTCTGAAATGGTTTTTGGAGAAGTGACTTCATTAGACAAGACTGTTCAACTCCATTTACGTTGTTTTGTATGTTTGTAATTTTTTCAGGGGATTACAGATACGGCACATACAATTTATGAAACTGCTACACGTGAACATGAAAACAGAGGGGTAACTGGAGCAGTAGGAGGAGTTCTCCGCCAGATTCCGCCAACTGTAGTTAAACCGCTAATAGTTGCAACAGAAGCAACATCAAATGTTTTAGGAGGCATGAGGAATCAGATAAGGCCTGATGTACGTCAGGAGGAATCTCAGAAGTGGCGTCTTGAAGAGGATTAATATGTTAAATATATTTGATATGCAGAGATTGGGAATCTGGAAGAAACAATTTCCTCATGGTAATTTAGGATGGGGACATATCTTTTCCATATGCTCATCTCAGGAATTTAAAAAGCGCATAAACATATTTGATGTCAAAAACTGGATTATTCATAGAGAAAAGCAAGTTTGGTATTTTAGTCATTTGCATAATGCATGTTCCCAGTACCTGCTGGTCAGTGCCAAACAAGGTCATCATGTGTTGCCAAATCCATAGTGGGTTGGTTTGTGACCAGGTACCATATTTTCCTCAATGTTTTGTGTTGGAATCTTTAATTTTTCCTTTGAAACAACGTCCCATCAGCTACTCTGAGTGTACATGTAAGTTTTAAAAGATTCCCAAGCTTAGGGGTGTATCAGTTCCCTTCTGTAACAGGGTAGAATTTGACACGAGAGGGGTCATTTCAGGATATTAAAAATTGAATTTTCAAATATTTTTGGATTGTTACTTTGCCTTTCATGCAGCACTTAAGAAAGAGGACAATCTGTCTTGATACCTTCTTGATATCAGAATGTCATTTTCATATAATTGTGAAGATTAATTATGTTGACTACATACTGAATTCCTCCTTTTGTGGAGATCCGAGCAATCTGAACGTTGCAGACATGTTCTGTTGTTTTGCACTTTAAAGAATTTAGCCTGTACATTGCTTTTTTTAAATAGTTAATAAAATGAACTTTGTGGTTTATCTTAATATGAGTTCAGCATTTATGAAAGTTATTATTTATAAGACAAAATACTACATGATTGTCAATGACAATAAAAATGGATTATGGTGCTTAAAAGTATTCAGGTTTGCTGTGTAGCAACAAAGATTGCAAGATATATGCACTTGCACTTACATACAAATAGCAACTATAAAAGAAGAGTGGTTTCTTGAAATAAAAGTACTGGTAATTGTATAAGTTAGTATGGATTTTTGTTTCAACTTAAAAACCTTTGCGTGTTACATGTTTACCCTATACTTTCCTTCAATTTTCTCTATAAGAATATTAATTTCATATGATTTTAAAATATACTGCTTCTTTCCTAATGGTTTCTTTAATAGTTTTGTCTTCAAATGCTACTTTTTTCTAAGTCCATCCCAATAAGACAGCCAATCTGTGCAGAGTTCAGTAATAATATATATGCAGAAAAGATGCGGCTATAGATTCCTGATATGAAAAAACAGAAAAACCACCCAAACCTTTGCATTGATGAAAAATGCAGCTATCTCTTCCCAACAAAATTTCCACTATTTATTAATTTAAGTATTTGGAAAATAAATAAGCTGTGTTCAAACAAGCTATTTGTAAGTTTAATGAACTTTAAAAATCCTACTAGCTGGAGGTAGCCAAACAGTATGTTTTTATGCATGTACTATAGAGAGAAATTGTCAGTATCTTGCAATTCTGGTGGATTTACATGCTAATAGAATAAAGAATGCCATGAAATCTTGGGCATGAGTAAATTTAGCAAAACAGTAATATAAAAGTCAAGTGTGTTAATAGGAAAATTGCATACTAACCTGCTATCCTCTTCAACCAATATTTATATTTATGACATTAGTCATAATAACTAATCCTAAGACATTTGGCACCTGCCCTTAGAGGAATTCTTATGAGTTCAAAATATTGCCTGATAGTCATACAAGGTTGTGATAATCTAAGTTGGATTCTAAAAGTCCTTTATAAAATTATTTAATATCAATTGATAATTCTCTTTCCTAGTGATTGTAAGATCAGCAAAAACACCAAACTATAAAGCAGTATGTTTTATAAGAGTTAGGTTATAAACACTATATGTGTGCTAAGTGTATTGCAGAGAGCATCTACTATTAATAGCAATTTAGCTAGGGGGCCATGACCTATTGCAACTTAAGATGAAATGTAAAGAAGGATGAGTTAACTAACTTTAACTAGGAATAAATCAAAACCTTAATGGTTATTTCAAAAAAAGCATTTTTCTTGGTGAATTTCCAAAACCATATTGTAACTACTAATTATTCTTTTATAATAAAAATAATGATGTCCTATTTGTTAATTGCCCTTTAAGAATAGGACTAAATCATATTATATTTGCTGAATGAGTGAGATGAACCAGGTCACAATAATCCTGACTTCCTGATGTTGCACTTTTGGGGAGCTGGAGGCATCTGCTTATAGTCAAGCAAGCAGTTATATTCTTCTCATTGCTCAACACTGGCTGTCCAGAAATTTAAATGCAGGACAAGTAGACATGCTTTTGTCCCCTTTATCTTCTGTGCATTGGCATTTTCTTTTCCAATTTTTATTAGCTCTTTATTTGGCTTCTTAGTTCCAGTATTAAACAAGCAAACAAAACAATCCAATCTTTACTTTTTAAATATGTATGCTATATAGAAATTTCTCACTATTTTGCAGTGGTCATATCTCTAAAAGTAACAATACAAATAAGAGTATGGTATGCTTTTGATTGCTTTGTTCTGAGTCATTCATGATTGTTGTAGATTATTTCATTAAATTTATTATAGGTGCCCACTTGAATAGACACTGGTGGTTTACAAACATGTAACACTGATTAAAATAATCAAAACACAGACAAAAAACAGCCTGGACTATAAACACCCATTGAAGCACGCATGACAGTCCATTCCCATGACAGTCCATTCCCCCAAACCCATTAATTGCAGGCCTGGGACTAAAGCCAGGTTTGATCTCTTGTAAGGACACTATTCCTTAAAAAAAAAAATACATCAAAACTCTTGATGTAGATTAGGAGTGTCCAAACTTGGCAACTGTAAGACTTCAACTTCCAGAATTCCCCAGTCAGCATAGAGTTGAATTCCACAATCTTAAAGTTGCCAAGGTTAGATGCCCCAATGTAGATGATAATGGGAGTATTAGTTGTACAAATCATTAGTTCTTTTTATAACCACCCTTCATATTTAAAATATCTTACGTGAATAGGTCCTACTTTTTCTTCAAGAAAAAGCTGCTAACAACTTGTGATCTTTGGTTTTGAAACAATATATCTCTAGTTCATAAGAATTGAACAATTCATTTTCCTCTCAAAGTTTTACTTGGTGATAGTTTAGTTTTAAAACAGGTGGGCTCATTAGCATACAATTAGCAAGTGAATAGAATTGTCTATGGAAAGTGATTCAACTGATAGGGGTTTCATGTATTTATCTAAAGAAAGCACTTAGAAAAAAAGGAAATCCCCTACAAACATGAAGCTTCACAGCCATAGAATATCCATGGGTCATAATTGATAAGGCATTTCCTGTGTACTTTGTCCTTTGCTTTAGAACCATACTTAATTTGTATTAACGTCATTTTATTTAACATTGTTTAATAATCTATACCATAAAAAGAATTTTTGGAATTTTGTATCTCATATCAGCTGCAGATGGAAAGAAAGAAACTGGATCTATTTCAGATGAAGCATTTAGTCAACCTGTAAATGTGATAACTATTTTTATTTGTATCATACATGTAAAATAATAATAGCAGTTAATTGAGGCTAAATATATATTACAAAATAGCATCATAGCAATAGAATATAGTTTTTAACACTAAAAACAGGTGGGTGTTTGTGTTCCTGGATTATTTATTATTTCACCTCATCTATCACCAGCCTAGTAGAATTTATGCTTTTGAGAGCAACTTTTATGTGCTGAAAAAGCGGAATCATGTTTACATTTTGAAATCAAGTTAGGTCATTACTACTAATGATTCACTTCTTCTGGATTTCTCATACAAAAAAAACATTGCTCAAGAAGATGCACTGTTTACATACATTTGTATTTTTTCTTATATTTGTTGATTACTTTTTGTGGTATCATTTGTATATAGTTACTAATGCAAAGCAACTGTATAACCATATGAAAAGCAGAAGCTTCTCTGAAAATAGAAAATAGTTGTACTCTATTTTTCCATATACTTCTAAATTACTGTAATGTCTCCCTCCTCCAAGCTACATTTGAGCATAGCTCATTTATCGCTAGTTTTGATGCATATTCAATAATAGAGACTTTATATTAACAAGGTATTCTGTCCATAACTTTTTCAACTGGTGTCATTATTGAAATAAACAAAAACTGTTTCACGTGAATGTTCTTGTATGAGTGTATTAGCACTTGGTTTACTTTTTTGTTATAATCTTCCAGGACAGAAATAAAATTAAAACTTCTGCATTCCGCAGAACACAGCATGGGCCATCTCATTTGTAGAATGCAACACATTAAATTGGAATCTAAAGGACAGTGCACCTAAAGGCAAGAATATCTACACTACAGCACTGAATAGTGAGATGGGACATGGATTAGTAAACAAGCCAGTAGAGGTCAAATACTATTGTCATCTGATCCTGCCTTAAACATTGCTTACAAACATTGTTTACTATCAACAGTCAATGAGAAATCAAAGGATATGTACACATGTATATATGAAGTATTAGTAAAATACTATTGAAAAACCCTTCAGTGTACCCTTCTTGGGGAATTAAGATAGATATGTCTCAGCCTGGTCCTTCAGCTCTTCCAAAATGTACCTATCACCGCTGTAACTTAGTGCATCCATCTTGCTGCTGGTCATCATCATCTCATCCTTTCCATCTTTCTCAATAATAGAATTTTCTGAGTTAGGTCTTCATATACTGTGCCCAAAATAGAATAGTTTGAGTCTGGTCATTTGTGCTTTGAATGAGAATCCTAGCTTGATTGGTTCAATAATCTATTTGTTTGCTTTCTTGGCTACCCATGAAGTTTTCAGGAGCCATTTCAAGGAAATAATGCAATATTTCTTGAGGCAGAAATGGCTGGCATACCATGGCTGTCCTTTCATGTTTGAGTAGACAATGCTAGAGTGTTATTTTTTTCAAAACCGATCTGCCTGCATAAATGACCTCCTTCCAGTGCTCCACCCAAAGTCTTTCCTATTAGATTAGTTCCAGTGTGAGGTATAGCAAATTAAATTACGTGATAAAAGTATTTCATCAAAATTAAATTCTTTTTAAAAAAAAAAACAAAGTTCAAATGAACTCAACTACAACAAAATAGGTAAACAGTCATTTCACACATTTAATCTATATGCCAGTTTTAATGAGAGGAATGTTGTTATTGTAGTAACAATTTCAACAATTTATGTTAATTCTTCAAAATAAAATATTAATAGTTTATCAGACATATCCTGCAATCACCAAAAAATTCCCTATGACTCAATATTGAAACACAACAATACAGATTTTTTTTTAAAAAAAAATCTCATAACAATGCATCATGTCAGACGTCCAAAGCTCTCTAAAATTTACTGCTTGCAAACGTCTTCTGGAAGGTAGGTTATTCTGGAGACAAAAGCTTCATCACAAAAAATTCTTCCAATCTTCATCCCTTCACCAATGTCCTGCAAATGAGGGGCAACTGGCTGCTTTTGCTGATACCATGGAAATGATTGGTTCAATTCTATTGGGGAAGTGCAATCTTGCAGGAAACAGCATCAAACAGTGAAGAACTTTATAAAGGACTATATACTGACCAGTTTTGTAAAATGCACCTAGAATTTAATAGGAAGCCAGGGCAGGGCCTGCAAAAGACATGTAATATAATGCTCAGTGATAAGCAGCCCTGAGAACCTAGGCCACTGTATTTTGCATCAACTGAAATTTTCAGGGGTTTTTAAACTCAGCTCCATATAGTGTACATTGCACTAAGCTAATTGGGTGGTGATGAGGTCAGGTCCTCACATCCCAAATGAGGCCAGAATTGGCATTTCAGTTGAAGCTGGGCTAAAGACTCCTGGCCTGGGTCTCCATGTGCTGAACCAAGAGATCCCTCAACTTGCTTGAGAGGCAGTGTAACCCCATCCAGAGAGGGAAAATGGGGATTATAAGAACCTTAATGTGTAAATAGTTCCATAGGTAATAGTACTGAAGGCCAGAAAGAGGCCGTTGCAATATCCCTATGGTCCTGTGATCAAAATCCAGATGCTTGGTAACTGACTCATTTATGACAGTTAATAGTGTCCTGGGGTCAGGTAATTTCCTTTTGTTATCTTCTGATAGGCAAAGTCAATAGGGAAGCCAGATTCACTTAACAAGTGTGACAAGAAAGGTCTTAAAACGGGCCAAACATAACAAATGTTTCACTACCTGCATTATTGGTCTCTTCCCCTTGTTTTTTTCTGCATTAGTACATATAACTGAATATAACTGAATATGGCTGAATAGTGTATGTTTCCTAATTTTGGATGATATTTCATACATCTAATGAATGGACATTGACTTATAATAAGTATGTTAGGTTTCATATATTACATTTCCTATTAACACAGGGTATTGTACCAATAATTTAAATCCCCTTGTCTTGGATTCAATTTTAATTTTCCACTTTGATGGGGTATCTAACACATGAAAAACTCATATAGTACTGACTTAAAATGTTCACTTTTATATTCATTTATTGAGATATAATGGTTGAACAGTAGAGGGAGCACAATAAATATTTGGTTTTTCTTTGTTCAGCTGTTTAAGGCTACAGAATAGTTTGATTCATTTTTATTATTGGCTTAAATCTAAAAAAATCAATTTGTACAAATTGTGCTTTTAAGTTGCACCTTGTGAAATACATGCCAGACTAGGAGGTGGAAAGTTATCTTCTACCACTGCTCTGTTTGTTCTAAAATGTAACAATTTATTATTTTAGCAGGGGTGGGTTTCAGCTGGTATGGACTGGTATGGGCATACCGATTGATGAAATTTAGCATGCCTTAGTGCACCGGTTCTTCCAGAGGCCCCTGACAAGCCCATGTGGCATGCACTGTCCTCTTCTCTCTGATAGCCGCCTCATTTCCAATGAAGGTGGTGGGAAATTCATCCATAGGGAGGAAATTGCATGGATTCCCCACCCCCTTCATTGAAAATGAAGTGGCTGTCAGAGGAGAGAGCAGCCCGTGAGCTTGTCCAATGAATCCTCCCCTCCTGTTCCTTCTTCTGCTGTTTGAACAAGCCACGTGGGGTGCGCTCCCTTGTCTTTCACAGCCACCTCATTTCCAATTGGGGCAGGGATCCATGAAGAGGGAGGGAAAAGATGGATTTATCCCCATCCAATTGGAAATGAGGCTGCTATGAAAGACAAGGGAGTGCCCCCCGCATGGCTTGTTCAAACAGGAGAAGAAGGAACAGGAGGGGAGTTCCATGTGGGACTTTTCAAACAGCTGAACTCCCGTCCTGTTCCTCAGGCAGGCTGGATCAGGAGTGCACGCCAGGTTGTTGCTCCTCCTCATGAGAGTAAGAGAAAAAATAATAAAAGGCTCCGCGGAGGTGGGACCGGCCCGCCATGGAGTGACCCATCCCACTCCCCTGCCCAGCAGAGCTTTTTTTCCCCCTCAGCTTGGCTCTTCTTCATTCCTTCCATCCCTCAGCACTCACCAAAGCACTGTCCCTGCTCAGCTGTGCTACCTCACCACCACGCCCCCTCTGCGTGCCCAACCACCGGCCTGAGGGGAAGCGAGCAATGGCAGCGAGGGGCAGCTGGCGGTGATGGTGCCTACTGCTCCTGCACTGGCTATGGGTCGCGCTGCTTGGTGGGCAGTGTCCCGA